CATACCAACATAAACATTTCCACAAATAATAATAATCAACAGCAGTCCAACCACAGTCTGTATCAACCTTAATAAAGTTCTTTGATTTGAAAGTCCAGCCCGAGAATCAAGGGCATTAAGAGTCGTACCGGTTGTCTTTCAGAGTTTTTGTAGAAGGACTTGTTTGCACAGTCACAATGGAGCTGAATTTTGGCTGTCTCCAAACATGAGCTGCTTACATTTCTGCCATGCAGCAGTTCTTGGTCCTTTTCTTTAGAGGTCCCTGGCACGCCCAAATTGCTGGGACATTAGTTCCACCTGGTGCCTCCCTGCTGATGGGAGGGGAGGAGGGGCTACCCGGCAGTTTGACAGAACACCCACACAAATTCAAACTGACATAAAAATAAGTCTAAGTAATATACATGTTTTTTTTTATTGTTTAATCAGACTGATTGTTACCTATTTAGGTCATAAAAGGTAAGAAATGTCTTAATTGTTCCACAACAGGGAAAATTTGTGTGTTGCATATAATACACAGAAGACGAAAAAAAAGTTAAGCTGTACAGCAGAGAAAACTACAGAGAGAAAACTGCAACAGCCAGATAATGGGACAATGAGAAATCAATGATGTAATAAATATCGTTTTAAAAAACACATCCATATTTAACACCTGTGTTAGTCAACATTTATAAGACACATATTGAGCAGATTTGAAACAGTGGCCATAAGTATTGATCAGTTAAATAATTTGTGCATCAGGAACCTGGTTTGTAAAAGGCTAGTTGGCCTGTTGGAAGCAGCAAAGATGATAGGGTCTAACAACAATTAGAAAGAAGGATCTGTGGACGTGCTCCTTTGTGCATCTATGATCTAACAGACCATGCAGAAAAGATAATTTGGAGACAATTTGTAACAAATGTTACTTTTCATTTCTAACATTACATAAAAAAGGGCATAAAAAAAACAGCTGAAAATAAGAGCTTTACAAAACTACCTTAACCTTCCATTTTTAACTATGTTAATACAATTAGTTATTTGTACCTGTCTGAGCTAAATAAAAAAATATATAAAAAATAAATGTTGTTTCAGAAACATGGCTGAAGGTCGAGCTATAAAAACTGTGATGCTAAAACAGAATTGAGCATATCAGGTTAGAACCTGCAGTATAATTCTGTCAAAGTTAGCATATTAAATATGATGAGTTCTTCTATCAGCTGACTGAAATCTTTCAATTGAAAATTGACCTAGACAAAAAAGCTGACCTTACAGTACATAAAACCTGATTACTTAAAATAAAATTCAACATATAATAAACTCACTTTTGATTTGAAAAGTATGTAATAATAGGATTTGCATATTGTAAGATTTTCTTTTTTCCACTTGCCCATTAAGGATTTTCAAAATAAAATGTTTGAATGCAAAGCTAAGATTCGTCACAAGTCCTAACATTACAGGCATAATTCCTATTTTTATATATTTTCTATATATTTATTTTCTATATGTTTTATATTTATTTATATTTATATGTTACATAGTTTCTGACTGCTGAATAAAATCCTGTTAGGTATAACTGCCAGCCTGCACTGTTCTTACATCTGCAATATCCACATTATGTGCATGAGACAGGCCCCTTCACAGGTGCTCTATAAGATGTGATTTATGTCATGACTCAATAGTGCAAAGTGTTTTTCCACTCCACAGTCACATGCCACCAATGACATTGTCTTTCCCGTAACAGACAAACATTACAAACTTAGTGTTACATGCAGTTGGTGACTATGGGGCAACATCTATGTGATGCAATGACCTCTGAACAATTCTTCCAGTCACAGATGATATACACCTATATATAGATATAGTTTGAAATAGCTTTTTTGGGGTTAAAAATATCTTAATTCACATTATCAGAAATTATCCTGCTTTTGTTCTTCTAAAAATAATTTATCAAAATTTAAACATGCTACATTTTTGTAGCAGAATTGAAGACTTTTCAAAACAGGAGACAGCCATCTGTTTTTGAGTTTTGATGGTATTCCTCAAATAATCACATTTTACTCTATATCTGCTATGTTCCCCTCTAATCCAATCTCCCAGTCTCTTGTTAAGCAAACTCATCTCAAGAAATGACTGATTCCAATCACCATCATACAGACTATAGTTGCATGGTGTATATAAAACTAATGACTTAAAATTAAAAGTCAGCCTAAAGTACTTGTGCAATTCTCCCACGAATAAACAGCAGATATTTAGGTCAGTTTACATGAAACACAATAAGCTTTCCAGGTTTTACTCCACTTCTTCATCACTCGATTCCTAAAACACTGGAATTTCTTTGAATGCATTCCAGTTGCATGTGTGCAAGCACACCTGTCACAGTGGAGCCATCAATTATACATTGCGTGTTTGTAGTGTACAGTTACATAGCGTGCATGCTGGTAACACTGGGCAATGAGTATGGCACCAGCAGGAGGAAGGCGTCAGAAGAGCCAGACAAAGGGAGACAGTGTGACAAACATGGACTAAATAAATGAAGCAGCTGATTAAAGGGAGGTGTGACTACTTGTTGGTTAGTGAAAAGGAACGGCTAATAGTGCGTGCGACATACTCTCCACATTCAACACTACATATTCCTGGAGGGCAGAACATTGTGACAACCTAGTTTTAGGTTGAACCAAACCATTAACCCAACTGTTTTGACTCTAATCTTAAAAAAGACCCTAGACTCAAGAACGATCTTATTCAAAACAAGGAGATATTTTTGAGTGGGCAAAATATTTTCCAGCGCTTATAGGAAATGAGAATACCCAAAGCGATTAATTTCTACTGAAATAACTTTCCTCTAACTGTATTGCAAGATATAGCGATGAAAGCTGTGTCTTTCTTCTCTATCCAATATCAAGCCTCTTGTGCCCCTATCACTCAGCAATGGCAATCATCTCTCCCTGTCAGATCTTCCCCCATCCTCTACCTCCTTTCTGTGGGATTACCCCCTAATGCCCAACCTAAATAGAGGCTTAGTGGCTGGCGACTGTGAATGGGAGTGTGAGGCTTAGCTGAGGCTGAATCTGATGCTGCTGTAATGGGACGAGAGATGCCTAGAAACCAGGCTGGGTTCATAGGAGAGCTGAGATGTTCTTGTAGCCAAAGGAGAGTAGCAAGTGGAAGCAGTTGTGAAGTATGAGTATGTTTTACACGTGTGGACTTTAGGCAATAGATTTGGAGTACACTGACATGACAACGGTGCATGTGTGTAAATTAAATTCAGTTCAATTAAAATATAATAAAAATAATTCCCTAAATGGAAATTCAGTTTTGGTACAGCCGGTCCAAGTGGGGACGCAGTGTCCGAGGCCCTGCTGCCATCAAACAAGGGACAGTACTACTGAGCAGCACAGAACTTTAAAGTACAGTTAATTACCTCTGACTCTGTAACAGGAAGAGCAAAACAATGAGCTGCTCACTCTGTCAAGTCATTAGAGAAAGCTGTGATGCTTTAACTGCAGTTAGAACCTGTCTTGGGTCCGTTCTGGAAAAACCAAGACTTTTCTTCTTTGGTTTTAATAATTTGACGAGTCTTTGCATGGCAGAATACCTCTAATCTGAATAAAGTGATGATTAGAATTTTTGATTTTGAGCTCATACAAATTTTGCATTCAGATTATTATTCCATCTTCAATCCGTGTATATTTGGTAAAGATTCAAATAACAGCTGGAGTTTGTGATTTTATGTGTACATTAAAACAATGTGCAAATGAAATAAATAAGAAAGTTTCAAACAAATTCCCACATGTACGAAGTCTAAGGAATCTAATAATAAGAGGAACTATACACTCAATTCAAACCTTCAAGCTAAAAATGACAGAACTTAACCGTACCTCCCTCTCCAGGGTAAGACAAGATCAGGGTTGATCTTGCGAAAGAAATACTCTCCTCCAGGCTGGTGTACAGTTAGACCTCGGAACGTTGTGTCATCCTTCTCTGAATCCTCCTCCAGTAAGGGTTCTTCTGGGTTTGGTCTCATCATACCGATGTATCTGGGCAGGATGTGAATGAAGACCTGTAAATTTAGGTTTAAGGATCAATTGAAGTTGCATTTGCACATAAATTTTGAATTAGTATGGGTAGACGCTTTATACCTTTCTAACCCAGTTCGGCATGATGTGGGTACTAGGCGTTCGGTGGTGAAGGTTGAGGACCACCACACTCAGGATGACAGAGAAAGTGACCAGGATCATGGTGAACATGACGTAGTTGACGATGATAGGGATGCCAAGTGAGGTCTCTGGGACTCTGTCGGCCAGTAGCAACATAAAGACCGTCAGAGCGATGAGGACAGAAATGGACAGAGTCATCTTCTCCCCTGAAAGATGGAAAATGGAAAGAACAGGGCAGAAAATATTGAGGATTCACAACAAAGCACAAAAACCTTCCGACATAAGTACAATAGAGAGTTTTCTAAAGAAATAATAATTTAAACCTTATAATGTGTACATATTGGTTTCAAAAGAGAGAGTCTGACTTTAAAACACCCGTTTTATTTATCCATACCTACAAAATGTTGTTCTTATTCTTGTTCTGATGATCAAAAAAACTCATACAAGCTATTGTGTAGATAGCTGTGAACTAATGTATGCTAGAGAATGAGATGCTATGAAAGGCTATACTGAGTCATACATTCTCTACCTGTAACCCCTTAGCTCCCACCTTTTTATAGCTTGTGCGCAAAAATGCTAATTGCAAACTAAAATGCCATTGGCCAGTGAAATAATATAATAAATCACAATTGCTTGTGATTTGTCTCATTCAAAAGCTATAGTAGTAGCCATTCAAAATGTCTCCACTTTCCTTGATGGGCCATTTGCTGGTACTTTGCTGATCCTTGGCTGGTCCTCTACAATTACATTTTAAACATCAATCTTTGAACTAATGTAAATACTCAGGTTGGACGTATCAGACTCTGCAATTCAGTGAAAGGGTGACGCTAGAGTAAAAAATTCACAACCAGGAGAAGGCCGGTGGCTGGAAGTTCGAGGGGATTTAGCTGGAAGTCGCAGGGGAGTGGGCTGCTATTCTGCTTTCATTTGACTGGAATGGGCAATTTTTAATGGCTGTTACCTGAAATCTTTTAGTTTCAGGTGATATATGTACACACTGTACAAAATTTACAAAGCCTGAGCTATTTGACAACAACATTTTTTTCCCCCTTGCATGAAAAAAAACCTTTTTTATTTTCCATATTTTGGGTATGGTTCATAGTTGACATCTCCAACTATTTACAGTTGTTGTACATGTTGAAAACAATACTTGTGTAAAGTTTTATATCTCCAGTGATAAACATTGTGAAACTGTGACATTGTGAAACTGTTTGTGTATCCTAAAAGACCATTTGGAACAAATTATCCAAATTAGGATAAAAAGTGTCAGATCGGATTATTCGAATTTTATGAATATTTCAACCATTAAAACACATTTCAATTTGTAGCTTTACAAACATTTTCATTCAAGCACCTTTTTTAACAATATTTTAAATTTTCAGCTTTCAAAATTTTGACTATGCTCTTTTTGTGCGTATCCAATTAATTTCTCTCTCCTCTCATTCCTTATGCACATAAATACACTGTAAAAACGATCTAGTAATAAGTACAAATTTCTTAAATTAAATGTTTTTACCCTTAATTTGAGCAGGTAAATGAGATAGTTTGCAAATGCAATGAGTATTTTTACTCTTAAAATAAGATAATTAGATAACATGCACTCGAAATAAGACAATGCAATTGTGTTTTCTTATTTTAAATGTAAATTGTCTGATTCCATTGGCAAAATGTCTGTTTTACCTCCTCAATCCAAGAACACTTATTTTAAGAAAAAATGACTTTTCTTGATTTCGATTTTTTCCAGTGTAAACGCTATCTTTTAAGCCCTTCAATTCTAATAATCCAATGCAAAGTGTATCCTATTGGCTAACAACAAAAGTCAGTAAAAGTTTGATCTGTCACCGGCTTGTGGAGCTCCAGTTATGCAAAACTACAGTGATACGTGCATCTGGATTTAAGCCTCTGATTCACATTGATCAGTGGTTTGAAAGCACTATGGTCTTTAAGGTGAAAAGGCCAGATTTTCTCAACAACTAACTCATTCTACAGCCTTATAAAGCAGAAACATTAAACATATACCGCTTAGGATTCCCCAACATAAAGCACCTCTTTCTGTACTTTGATACCAAAGCATGTCAAATAAGCTAACCTGCTCCAGGAGGAAGGTAGAAGACAAATATAGCTAACACACTGGTGAGGATGCAGGGGACAATGATGTTAATGATGTAGAAGAGAGGTTTCCTCTCTATGATGAGGTAGAAGGTGATGTCTTCATACAGGTCATCCCCAACATTCTTTCTGCTTGGTTTGTGACGGATGGCCCACTCTCCATTCTCTGCAGAGGTGAAGAAAACATTCCAACATGTTAGGGTTAGCTGGATTGATAATGCTGTATTAATATGGCTGTGGATAAATACTGCATATGTTTGGAAACAACCTGTGAAAGCATTCTTATCGATGACAATCTCCTGGATATCTGCCCCACTTTCATCAAGATAGAACTGCAAGTCAACTTCTGAGGCGTCATAGGTGTACGAGCGGAAAACCATACTGCAGTTTTGCCAGTCGAATGGGAAATATGCCACCTATGGACAGCAAAATTGAGGCAATCAGCACTTTATGGTTAATTTCTAAAAAAGTTTTTTTTTTAATGCCAGTCCCATTAGCTGCATAGGATCTGATTACCACAGCTATGCTTATATGATGGAGGTTAGTTATGTACCTCAATGGAGCAGGAACTGCGGTAGATGGCAGGAGGCAACCAAATGACCATACCATTACTGTAAACCAAGACGTTAACGTACAGAGCCACATCGAACTGCCCATCGTGACTGTAAGAGAAATAAAGACAAAAGTGAGACTCAATTTACAACTTTCCCACCTCTCCTCTAAGTGGATGAAACAGACATTTAATCAATGAAATCATATTCAGACTATCTGTTGGGATCTGTTTCTTAACCTGCCATTTCCCTCAATTCTCCCCTAGGTGACGTCAGGAAGTTTGGTTGGCAGCCCTGGTTGCAGCAGGTCCGTGTAAACAAAGCAAATCATCATCATAAGTGAAGCTTTAAAGGAGCCTGCAGCCAGTGATTGCCTAAGTTGTAATGTCGAGCCCTCCAAGTTCCAAAAGCTGTGGATGTTTGGCTTGCGTTAAACTCAGATCACTGTGTTCTTTACTCTAAGGTACTTCTAGCATGAAAATGGATTCTGATCCAGTCCTCCTCCTGCCAGATTATGCCACCTGCAGCCTTACTGATCAAAGTTCTGGATTCTTCAAACAAGCCCTAGGGTCCTTGCTCCACATCCTCCAGTTCTCCTTCAACTGGTTCCACTGACCATTTTGCTCCTTGGGATTTAAACCCTCAAGTGTGCAGAACCTATATTTCTTAGATTCCCTCCAACCCTCCAAGTTGGATCATTCTCCCAACCTCAGATCCCCATCATCTTCAAATAAGCGTTCCTTCAACCTCAAATTTCACCTGTGCTGTTTTTCTCAAGAGCTCCAACCTACCTGACGCCTACAATTGGCCGTTGAACCATTCCTACCATTCCCAGCTATTCCTCTGTTCAGTCGGTTGTCAATGAAACCTTAAACATTTCCCAGTCTCCTAAGTGTTACTGCCTGTTGGTCGGATACTTGCCTACCATCAAGACACTAGCCAAAACTACTGGAGCCAAAGTATCGCAGGGTAGGAGTCACACTTTTTGAAATGCCCAATACTTTACATTTAGTTTTAGTCTAGTTGGCAATACTCTTAACACTTAGTTTGTAAATATTGGCTTGAATAGAGATTAACTTTACTCTTGGTTGAAGGCAACTGAACTCTTAGTGGCCAATAGCTTTAAAGTAGCTGTCAGCTTGAGTCAAACTAGCTGTATGCCTTACTCTAAGCTTTGTGTTATTTCTGACAAACTGTTAGTTTGACACAGATTGCTGCAGGTAAAAGCCAACTGACTGGAAGCTTTGGACTGAAAACTTTATAGCATCACTTTAAAAAATGAAAGCGTAAAATAGGGAGTTATGGGTATGCAAGTCAAGTTCCTCTTTCTAGGCTGTTCTAGAGATTTTTCTCATGGGGAAAAATGTTTATCTTGAAAGAGGCTATAAATGAAAAAAAAATAATGTATGCAGTGAATTAAATGTTCTGCCTTCTAGATTAATGATTGTGTTGTTGGCAATGAGTCACTCACTTGTTTATCAGGTAGATGTCAGGACGCCACACCTTCTGGGGAGGAATTCTCAAAACTGCAATGTTATCGTACTCCTCCGGGTTCCATGACAGCCTGTAGTCTGTCCAATTCTGGGAAGGACAGAGGAATAAATAGAAGACAGGCTTTATGTGCATAACCTATATCAACAAAGATTCTGGTCAGAGATTTAAATGGCAGAAGTTAAAGATATCAAAGTGTCAAGCTTTTATTTAAGGCAAAGAAAGGTTTTAGAAAAAAGGCTTCGCATCCATACCAGATTCATGAACACGTTTGTTGTCATCTCGCTGTTCTTTTCATTCTGTTTTGGGACAGACAGGAAAGGTTGATGTTACAGCCGCTAGCGTTAATGTCTGAACTTGATATATACTATGATGTTAAAAAAGTGTACAACCCCTGGGTCATTAAATGTTTTTACTCTTTTAAGTGGGAAAAAATTGACCTATTAAGAAATAGTTTTACATGAGCTACATGGCTAAATAATTGGTACCTCTGCTTTTTAACAAACTGTAGGACTGTGATTAGTACGTTTCTGTAATATTTAAAGAAGTAGCACTCTTAGAGAGACAGAGAGAGAGATATCTCAATATTCCAATTTACGCTGTTTGTCACTGAGCTTATTTTTGCCCTCAGTTAAGCTAAATAAAAATGTTTAGAGAAAAAAACAGCTACATTAAAAAAATAGCTTTATTTTGCATGTTATCACAATATATGCTTTAAAATACTTTTTTTTGCCTCAAACAAACACGATTTCTTTTGTTTGTTTTAAATTTCTAGAATAAACTATAGTATAAATCCTTTAAATGAGGGAAAGGAATACCATTTCTTTAATCTCTTTTTTGTATATATAAGTATTTTTAAATATACTTATATACTTATATTTTACATCTTTTCTAATTTCTTTTTGATTTTTTGATAAAGTTTTTAAGAGTCTTTAAGAGATTTTTCATTATGATTTAATTCTTCCAGTTGTAATCATTTTGTTTTCTCTTATTTATTTAGTTTTGTTATCGCAGCCCTGGTATTTGATCTAATTACTCACTTCATTCACCTGCTTTCCCCTCCACGTGCTCCAATTATCATTAATTGTATTCACCTGTGCGGTCTGCTTTATATACGGTTCAGCCCAGCAATCGGGGCTAGATCATTATTTGTTTTATGTATTCGTGTTAGTTTTCAATGTTTTCTCTGTGTGTTTTAGTTTTTCTTTAGTCCTCAGTTCATGTTCCCGTCCCTGGAGGCCAATGGACTGAGAGGGTTTGGTGTTTGTCTCCTGTCTGCTGATAGTGTTCCAGCTCTTTTCCACGGAGCCCTCAAGGTTTTGGCGGGGATAGCCAGTTTTAACTCCTGTGATCCTGGCTCCTAGGAAGAGTCCAGTTTAAAGTTCTGCAGTTATCCTGGTACCATGTCTTGTCTCTGTTCCTCTCAACCACTGGGCCCACATGTCTCCATCTGTGCGTGTCTGTCTGAGCTCACTGCTGAACTCTAAGAACTCTGGACCTGCCTGAACGTTCTGTGGATTCCGGGAACCTTGGATTTGTCTGTTCCTGTTTGGATCCCCTGGTCAGTCTACAGACTCCTGGATCTCAGTACAGTCCTGTCTCTGACCTGGATCGGGCTCTGGAAGGTTCAGCATCACATCTCGTTGGTAGTGCATCGGCTGATCCTGCCTTACCCGAGAGGATGGGTTGAACTGTTGAATCAGGAAAGTGACTCACACGGATAATCATCTTCTGTCAGATCATCATGGTCACTTAACTGTGTTTCTCCCACAACCACAGTGCCAGTGAGGGGTTTTGCCCCGCCCCTTCGCAGCCTCTGCATGTCCGCTGAGCCACAGCTCTGCGTTCAGTTTTCTGTTTTGTTCGACGTTTGTTTAGTCATAAATGTTTTGAAACTTCCCACTGTCTGTCTCACCTAGAATACTGGGTCCCATCTGTCCTGTTATATGACAAGTTTCAGTAAGCTTTTAAGGTGGGTATGGTATTTTTGTTAGATACTAAGATTTTAATAATACTAAGTTCATTCTTAGTTTCACTAGTTTTAGTTTAGTTTTCATTAATATTTTCTTTTTAGACAGAAAATGTTTATATTATGACACATTTATGAAATAAATAGTCAGCAAACAATATTACTTTAAAAAAAGATTTAAGTATAGTGGACATGAACTGACTTTTGTTAAAAAAAGATTCAAATCAGTTTCCAGGAAAATACAAATATTGCTAAACTCAAAAATGAAGGACATATAGGAGAATTAAGTCATGTTAGTTTTATTTAAGCAAAAATAAAACTTTTATTTTAATTTAATAACAGTATTTATTTATTGCAGTTAAATAAAATATTTTATCAATTTAGTTTTTAATTTTTAACCAGTTTTATTTAAGTATAGTAACTCTGCTCTCAGAATGCAGCTTGCAGACCCATTAATTAGAAGAGTTGGGCATCTCTTATGCTTCCTCTCTCTCTCTTCTAATGCTCATTGTTACATTTAAAGTCTTTGTCGCATTTAGCAAAACTGCCATGTTTGTGAAGTAGAAGAAAAAAGGTTTAGCCATGAAATGTCCTCAGAACATATTGATTAGCATATCTAAAAAGTGCATCCTCCTGATCCTGCTCACTGTGTGTTGTTTCAAGATAAATTGGTGCCCATCTCCAACCTTATAACGCTACAGTTGCAGCTGTTTTAAGTATCTTAATGACTCATCAGAGTATTGATAAGTTTTCTGGTTAAACTTTTACTAGGTTAATTAGTACCCTTTAATGTTAGATGGATTGAATCTTTATAGCACTTTTCTAGTCATATGATTACTCAAAGCACACGTAGCGTAGAGAAACCAAAATAAAACCAACAATTTCTGGATTATTTGCAAATGCACTCAAATTAAAGGCGAAATATTTTTTATTCTATAAATACATTACTGCAATGAAGCGATCGCCATAAGGCTTTCTAAACATCTTCTCCACAGGTGATGCAGGTTATCCATATTCACCAAGCCAATGAGCTGGGAAAGCGTCATCCCCACTCGCACCATCACCCTGTCCTTCCAGTGACGAGCCGGTCTGACTTTCACATTGTAGTCCTGGAACAACTTCTGATGGAGTCTCCGCTCTGTCTCAGAAGCTCCTGGAAAACCAAATGTTTTGTTGTGACTAATACTTCTGGAAAGGATTATAAGAGGTGAGTCACGGTTCTACTTATGAGATGTCAAATTGAATCCTGTTTAACAAAGCGTGCTTGAACTTCTGCTTTAAGCCTCTGAAAGTCAGTCAACAGAGTGTTTGTTCTCTGGATCGATAAGTCACACCTGCTGTGGTTTGGTATCGCGCTCAATTCCCACTAAGATTATTGTCTAAAAATAGCGTCCTATGCCATCTACACGATGCATGGATGATCTGTTGTTTAATGCAGAGGTCACTGACCTCATGGCTGATGACTGGTTAAGGGAGATCATTTGATAGCAGGTGGGGAGCCATCCTGCAAAATGGGAAAAATAAAACAATAAAATCTGTGCCTCCTGTTTCCTACTGGGAAATTCCTAGCTAGAGATGACCCTTTTGGATTATAGCCTTTGGTAAACATCCCTGGAGATTTTCTTTAACTGGGCCGGGAGATTGTTTTCTCAAATAGGGGATAAACTGAAAGGAACTCCTTTGGATCAAAGTAAAAAACTTACAGCAATCCTCTGATTGAAGTTCTCAAAAATAGATTTATGTACTATGAGGTCATCCAAAATAAAGAAAAGCGTTATATTAACACATTAAAGAAAGTTAGCTAAATCTTTTCACATTTGTCTATTGGGTTGTTAATGACAGAGCAGATCTTCTTAAGGTTAAAGCAAATCATCCACTGCCTTAAAGCCAGTGGATGTTCGCAGCTCGGCCATATTTTCCCTTCTAATTCTATTAGAACTGATATAATCTGATAAACTGCTTAATTCAGCTTTTCCATATTCTTTTTGTGTTTATTAGTTTAACTAAAGAGTTTTTTTGTCAGAATAACTGTGAAAAGGCTTGAAACTGAGCTGAGAAAGACAACCCTAAATAGTTAGAAAATCTCTAAATCTACCTTTTTTCCAACAGATTAATCAGAGATTAAACAATTTAAGGCATACGTGTTTACAGTAATTTTCAATTCATTAGAATATTACTAAAATGTTTGTTTAGTTAAGAGAAATTAACTTACAAAGCAAAACACATCAAATTGATCATTTGCATACTTTTGTTACATTGATCTGTATTAAATGTTATACATTTGCAATGACATCCAATGAAAACGTGACATTTAAGACTGTAATATTAGATGACAATAAAGAAAAACCCATAAGTTTTAAACACAGCATTGTGGACTGGATGAAAGGTATTTTTCATACTTGTGTGAAGGTTTTTTTTTTTTTAAAGATGTTTTTAAACTGTCAAAAGTAAAAAAAAAAATTCCATTTAACTGTATACTGAACACAAATGAATCAAGGTTTAAAGGTTTGGGTGTTTGTATAATTTTATTTCGAAAGTGGGTAATTGGGACTTATATTCTAAAATATTTAATCGACCCAATGCTCTTCAAGGAGCAAGAACTTTTACTAAAATGAACCAGTCAGCTAAGCAGAAAATGTTGTTTTTCTTGTTTTATGCACACTCTGGTCACTTTACTTGAAACCATTCTTGTCACCTGATCTTAACATCAACACTGTAGACAGCTTATACGATCTTCATATTTTAAAGTTTTGACTGTAACCAGCTATTCGGTTCAAGATGTCAAGCTCATATAAATTAATAAAAAAAAAAATAATAGAGATATGTTTGGCTCTTCTGATTAATCTAGATTTACATAAAAAAACCAATCCAAACCCTCAGAATGATTGAAAAAAATAAGTTAAAGCGATCTGAACCACTCATTGCCACAGCTCTGATTCTAAAATAACACAAAATGAGCCTCATCATGTTTTAAGTGATTATATATCATTACATTATTTTAACTAGGCCATCAATGCTTCAATAAAAATGCAATTTTAAATAATCTTCAGAAATGTTCTTAATATAAAAAAACTGAATTTCAAGGTTTCAATAAGTGTCAGACATAATCATCAAAACAAGACTTAGAAATTTCGTTTAAAACAGCTCTAGAAAATTACATTTTTTAAAGTGCAGCCTTGAAAAACACAAATAAATACATAAAAAATAGTAATATAAATATATGACTGTAATATTTATATTACTATTTTTTTTAAACAAGTAGAAATATATCCATCGATGTATAATAAATTAGTGGAAATTATAGGATAAAACACATTTTTGCTGACATTCTTATATATTAAATTAGAATAGAATAGAATAGAATACAATAGAAAATCCCTTTATTGTCCCACAATGGGGAAACTGTGGTGTTACAGCAGCTAAAGGTTATAGCAAAAGTGATCACACAAATGTGCCTTAGAAAGTATATAAAAAATAAAAGAATAAGTGACAGAGTTAAATAAAAAAATAAAATACTGTGCCGATAAAATACTGTACGACTGATGAAATCAATACATAATTTTGGTAATTATCACAGAAGCCAAAGGGGAACAAGCTGGATTGACAGCAACTCCTCTGCAAAGCATATGTAGGACAGACAGTGAAGGACAAACCCGACTCACAAAAGAGTCAGTGAGCGTAGTTCAGCGAATATCTCCTGAGGGGCAAGGGAGACCCGGCTAATGTGACAGATATGCCACGAGAATGTGGGATCAAAGGGATTTCTGGGATTCCATCTCTATTATGGATGGAAAACATATACTAATTAACCAAAAATAAAGTGTTAATTTCCTATATGTTCCTTTAAACAGATAGCAGAAAGTTAGGTTGGTATTTTTCATCCATTTTAGAGAAAAAAAATAATCAACTGCACTCAAAAAAACAATAAAAAATTTAAAATTGACTAAATTAGTGTTGTGTGACTAAAAAGGAAATAGATGTATTTACATACATCTACATGTATTTTGCTGATTTTAAGGCTTGTCAGGTAATAATAATAGCGCTAGGAGCGCTGACTGCACCACAGGCCACCAACCAGTGAAGGGCAACAGATTGTTTTTCTATCTGTTATTCAGTGTTAAAGGTTCAATGACCTTTTTCTCTACTCAGTTAATTTTACTATTTTTACTTTATCATCTAAATGCTTTACATTAGAGAAAAAAACAATTTCAGAGTAATTCAAGTAAATGAGCCTAACCAAAAGGATTCTTGAAGTGCAAAGTTTTACCATGCACATAGAAATGCATTCATATTCCTTACCTGTGCAGGTGAAACAAAGAACGCCACAAATGACGAGGAACGTGTCAATGTTAAACATCCTCATCTGTCCCATGATGGCAGACATTACATCCTTGTAAAAGACTGCAGTCCTTCTAACTTCTGAGTTCCTGCGCCTGAGTCCAGCTTATCTCGTACAGCTCGCTCCTCCAGTGGCACACTGTCTATCCAGCTCTTCTCTCTCCTGCCCCTTCCTACTTTTGTGGTCATGGCTCTCTGGGTGAAAGCACAGCCTGATTAGGTGCCAATGTTGGGAGTCACGAATGGGTGGAATGTGTTTGTTGTGGGAGGCCTGCGGACACCTGTTGGTGCTCACCAATCTGAGGTTAGGGGACGGGTTGACGGTGGAGGAAGTAAAGGGATGGGGTTATGACAGAGGAAATATTTTTAGGGGGGAGAATCAGTTGACTTAGAGGAGGTCTTTCTCAAGAGACAGGTGAAGAATTGATAATCTCTAGAGCAATTCAGAACTGTTGCTAATCTGAATTGCTTACATCCTATAATTATTGGTTGAAAGTGTGGCCTGGGGGCCATTTGTGGTCCTTGTAAGGGTTCTGTGGTCGGCCTCCCTGCCTAATTTTGAATAGTTACAAATTTGACCCTCCAGCAATCAATGCAGAAGAATAACTTTGGGGTCAGCTTTTAAATCACATTTTACACATTCTTAAAATGAAAATAAAGCACCACACAAAGCTTTTGTATTTTGTGAACCATGTGTTTCTTTTTTTTTGTATTTTTTGTATTTTTTGGAAACAGGGACCAAAAAAAAAAAAAATCCAAATACAGTATGGTCTTTCAAAAAAAGATTGGGTTCTTTTCATTCTAGACTGCCACCTGAAGTATTGAAAGACCCGAATATTGTGCCCTTTGGTGTGATGTAGCAATAAAGATAAACTATGCCAGCATTCAGGAGGCATTAAGGCCAGTTGGGTGAACCACTTTAACCAACTCATTTTGATACCCATTGGATATGGCTCTATTCCAAGTTCCACCCATCAGCTTTGAGCACATTTGATCTTTTTTGTGTTTATCATCGATTTCTTATGATACCTGCAGAGGGTTGCGATATAGATGAATGGCTAAATCACAAACTCTGCCTTTCAATGGTATTTTTCCTTATCAGAACAGACTGAGCTACACCATTGTGTAAGGTTTTTTTTTCTTCTGCAATATTATCTTCAGTTTCCCATCTCTCTTGCCTCCTATGTTATCCTCTCTCCCTAAAAAAACTGTCCATAAATCAGAGCCACAAAGAGGTATGGGAGGAGCAAAGTATCTCAGGTTTGCCCCTGTGCATGCCAGAGCCGCAAGTATAAATACATCTGTCACAGGGGCTCCTATGTATTTTTATGCATCTGCTTAACAGCTAATCTGCAATATTATGCACAGACAAAGCATTGACCAAGAGTCAGAAAAAAGAGATGAGTGCAGATTTACCAGTATGGCAGTGGTAATGTCGTGTAAAGGTGTATAGTATTAAAGGGCTATTAGGAGTGTCAACAGGGAGATCCGATGAAAACGAGAGTAAAGGTTTGCCTTCAGCAATCTGAGAATTGCATTAAAGAAGGAATTGTTTATTAAGACTTATTAGGAACTACTCTTTCAACAATAATCCATGAATCAATTCATTTTCTGTTCCTGACAGCTCAGTCTGGCCATATGTGAGAAAGTAATTCCTCCTTTCCACATCCTTCCCCTTAGATGGATAGAATAAAGAATTCCTTCTAATACAGAACCAGTCTCACAGCGGGTATTAATATGTACTTGGTCAGCTTCCTTGTTATTAAAAAACTTTATCTCGGAAATACATCGGCTACTAATCATCTTCGTTCCACCAATCTGCTTTATAGTTGCTGAATATTATGGCTGACATGTAAGCCTGATGGTGCCTGAGATCTTTAATCTCAATGAGACATTTCCTGGTTAAATAAATAAAACACACGCATAGTATACGCCTCTTGTGATTTTGCAAACACAAGCTTGGTATAGACAAAATATTAATAGATGAATTATCCACATTAATTTAAATTCTTCAGAAAGTGTCACTAGTAAATTAGTAAACAACTGTTACATATATCGTACAATAATCCAGCCAGAGTACTTCATCCCATATTTAGATAGTTATGAGACCATGTTGCTCTAAGCCAAACATGCCAATTTACTGAGTTGGTAAAACACAGAACTAGTTCTGTCCACATTGAACACAGCCTTTGGTTACAATTTAGGTTTTCTACACGTTTTTTTGTAGCAGCCAAAAAAGTAAGCTGCAGTTTATTATCCTTACATTCGACTAATGATCCCTGATGTACAGAAGAATACATTTATCATCCAAGTTACTCATCAACATTTTTATGGTTCATTGAAGTGTATTTTTGTTCTCTATGGGGGAACTTAAACAGTTTCTGAAGTCCCTCCAAATCATTGTTTTTGGTGTACACAAACATTTTTTCATTCAAAAAAAGAGCTGGTGGTTCCTGAAACCATGTTTCCATCGTGCAGATGGAAAATGTATTCATATTGTCAATGAAACCCAAATTTTACAAATCTTCTAAGACAGAGGTCATGGATCATACTAAACCTGATTTAAAACATTTATAAATTACTGCATGTTGTCCCATGGCAGTTCCGCTTCTCCTGTTAACATGGTAAAATCCTCCGGAGCGTCCGGCACCAGGCCGCATGTGATACAAATTAGCCAATGAGCTGGGTTAGTCTGGGTTGCTGCTGCTGCTACTTTTATACACAGCAGGCAAACCTGTGACAAGCCGGGGGGATGGGAAAGTAGGAGAAGATGATATAAAAAAGAGAGCAGAGAAAGTGTGGACTGCTGGAAGAACTGTGGTGAACTGGTAAAAAAAAAAGTGAAATGGCGTGGTCAATATGACCCTGCACATTTTGAGTATGTTTGGCTCAACCTGTTGCTGTGAAGCAGGATTCTCCACCATGAACATAATGAAAAATACATATGGATCCAGACTTACTCCAGATTTGCTTTTGTGGTGAGAAGTACGCTTTAAAAAAAATCTAGCACCAATTTTTGTCATGAACCGAGGACAGATGGACCCAGTATTCAAGGAGAGACAATCAGTAGGAAAGTTCAAAACGTTTAATAAAACAAAACTAAAGCGGCCACGATCATCTGACAGAAGATTATCTGAGTTGGTCACTTACCTGGTTTAACAGTCCAGACCAAGAATGTCCCCAGTGCTGCAGTCCCAGAGGTCATGCTGGAAGCCGATCCTGGTCAGGGATCCAGAGCTCGCAGGAACAGAAACAGGTGGCAGGATCCAGACTTCCAGGCATCCACAGGCTTCCAGAAGGGTTCAGAGTCTGACTGGGACCAGAAGCATGACCAGGTGGTCACGCACAGGAGCAGACAGGATCAGGTGCAGACAGGCAGGCTCAGTGGAAGAGGGTAGCCGAGACAGGACATAGGAACCGGAACTTGAAGCAGGACTTTAAACTAGTCTCCTCCCTGGAGCCAGGCTTACTTTGATAAAAACTGAACCTCCCCCCATAATGAGCCAAAAACCCAGAGGACTCCTCGGGGGAGGAAAAGTGGACGATCAGGAGACGAGACAAACACTGAAACCCTCTTTCCGCTGGCTGCCAGGATCCAGGACATGAACCATGAAATAAAAAAACTGAACAGAAAGACTAACAGAAAGACAAGTAATGATCTGGCACCGGAGAGAACTGAATTTAAACCAGAGGAAACAGGTGAGGGGAATAAATTGTAATTGAGGCAGGGAGGGAAAACTGCAGGTGAGAGGAATTACTAATTAGGGAGGAGCAAACAGGCCAGATCATGACAATTTTAAGGTATAGAGAAGGAGTTTCTTTTTTTGGGTGGATCATCTGAATAAGTGGTCCTCCTAATTGTCAATCATTCTGTTGATATGTTTACATAAGGCCATCCTACATGCTCGTCACTAGTTAGCTATCTTTTTCAGGGGGATATCTGTGGGAAGCTACGGTTTAAGCCAGTCATTGAAGATCACCTTTCTTACCATGGTTCTTTAAAATGACAGAGGGTCATAAGAGAAAAGGTTTCTACAAAGTGTATGAGAAGAAAAGAATGGCCTAAAAAGAGAGAAACAAGAATTTTTTTTTTTTTTTTTAGATTCTTTCAGGTGATGACGTGCAATGAAAGCACAGGTCGGACCTCCCACTGATGCCTCGGTTGCAAAGTTTCTACTCCACAGGTAAAGTTTGGTATGGAGAAATCCATTTTACATCACTGCCAGTAAAAGTTATATACCTCTATATTGTAACATTCCAGGGAAGATAAGTTTATTTATATTATAATTTGCATCATTATTAGTTATACGGTGGCCACAGATCCTTATTTACCCCGCAAATATGTCCACATTTCTACTGCAGCACACACACTTTAAACATCTCATTATTTTTTTTCATGTACCAGTAGTCTTTTTTGCTGGGAAACTTTTTATATATAATATGGGTGAGATGAGATCCATCTGAGTGATCGTCTTATCATTGTGTCCATACATTTTAATAGCCGTTAGGTCTACGGAGTGGGTACAAAGTGGTACAGGTGCATTATTTTTTTTAAAGCTACAGTGTGTAATTTTCAGCGACTTCTAACGTCCAGACTGCAGACCGCAGCAACATGAACATCCCCCCCCCCCACCGCTTCTCCCCCCCAACAGTACGGGACAAAATGTCTTCCACAACGTCCGCATCACCTACCTTCTCAAGTGATGAGGTTTGTTACACAGATAATTTTACAGATAGTATTTCATTAGTCTGTGTAGGGTATAGATTTCATGTAGACTTAAGATAATAAATATCGAGCGTAATGGGCGATCTCGCAATCGCTAGTTTGTTGGCTCTGCGCTGCCGTAGCGCAAAGATGTCTGCCTCCATGGCTGCGAGACCCGCTCCTATGTAATTATAAATAACGAATTCTAAGGCAACGCAAATATTAAGGTTAAGAGGCTGAGCTCGTAGATGATGATAAATAACATAGTTATGTATAATATATTACATTTCTGACTGTGTATCCTTATGATTATTACACACTGTAGCTTTAAGTGGAGAGGATGGGTCTTTTCAAAAATTCACGAAAATCCTCGACTATACCTTTAAATGAATTGCTTCAATTGGTAACAAGTAATTTCATCTATTTGATCAAACTTTTTTTTTAGGTTTATAAGTTGAAAACTTAAATTAAGTTGGGCAAACCTCATTCAATCACAATTAAAGCAATTAATTTAGGTTGCAGCAGCATATTCCATTTGGAGTGTTGGTGACGCTTCACCCATTCAACTTGGATATCTGCTAAATGTCCCTCTGTTCCCAGAAAGGTTTTGTTGGGAGGACACCCAGATGAATAATGTTTAGAACAAATACAGAGGGGAAACCAGGTTACATTTTGAAAGATATTCTTTAAAAAAAAATGTGATGGTAGCAATTTTATATTTCATTACAAAGATAAACATAATTGAATTTAAATTATTCACCTCTAAAGGTGCTAATGTGAATGAGATAGTAGCTTCTCTCATTAGAACAATGTATTTACTTCAGATGACTTAACTTTGTTAAAAGAGGTTGGTCGGGGAATGCTGTTGTACAATGAAAACTGTCTCCTAAACCAAAAGAGGAACCATGGAAGAAGCTGAATTATATCATGGCGGCAGATTCTGGTACCTGACTGAGTTTAGTTAAGAGGTGTTCAGTTTCTGCCCTCTTCTGGCCTTCCTAAGGTAGTTACCTCAGGAAGGCCTTTTATATGTTGTAATTAACATATCAAAATAAGATATCTTAAAAAACTCCTTAACAAAAAATGCTGTAACATAAAAGTATAACACCAAAATAATAGAATAAATATCTTTATTGTAGGTGAAACCGTCCCAAAAGAGCAAATAGGATTTACTTTTGCCAGTGCGGACATAATTTGTTTCACATTAATTCTGCTGTCTAAATGTTTGGCAGTCTCTTCAAAAACTGTACTAATAGATATGAGGGACCCAGTCTGCACTAACCACTGCCTATTATTAGACCCACTAATTGGGCTAATATTAGATGAATTGGCAGGTGATACACAGAGTGTTAAAGCATTGTGACAACAGATGCAGCCTTAGATATATATCCTCCCCTTGGATCTTTATTAAAATGAGAAAAACAAAAGCACTGTTGCAACTATGTATGTACCATAAAAGATACTTGGTGTCCTTGTGTCCTCAGACAAAGTGAGACACAGAGGACGGTGATGTTCTGCACTCCAATACAAGATTAGCCTCCAAACAAATGTGCACCTATACACCAGTGACTAAAGCACAAATAGGATTACCCCCAGGCACGTGCCACACTCTCTGCACAGGCGGCATGAAAGGCACACAGCCAGCTTATTATAGCAGCTGGTTTTTCATGGTGTTTAAGTGTTAACAGTTGGAATATCTGATTTCAGCTGTACATAAAATGCTTTAAAAAAGCCAATGTCACGTAATAGCATAGCATGTAAAATGGATTATATTAGATCTAGATGGGTTATTACAGTTCAAGAAATAGTTGACATATTCACATTTAGAACAAGTCAAAGGGACTAAAAACTTCGTAAGACCAACAGTTTTTATCCAAAGTTTGTCTTTCTTTCCTGGAAGGATCTGTTGCAGTGTAGGAATCTAGTCTGACTTATGGAGCAATCCTCTGCACCATTTCCTGAACCTGGGAGTTCAGCTCCTCAGGTCCATTTGAAGGGGTCTGTTGGGGTGTGATTGAGACTGGCATCAGAGAAAATGGCCAAAGTGCCCACGATGGTGAGGACGACGAAGATCCAGAAAAACATGCGGTCCACCACCATTGCTACGAACTGCCAGTCCTCTTTTAGCTGTTGACAGATAAGGAGCAAGAGAAGGAAGTCCAGCATGGAGAAGATCAGTATTTGGTAGCAGGGGTCGGTATAATACGACAATCTGTATAGTACAAGAAAAACTCACAGCTTCATAGTCTTTCTCAGCCTGCAGAGCCTCAGCAATGTACGTGATTGCTTCAATAGCTGACTTGAGCTCATCGGGAAGGGTAAGGTAGGTGCTCGGGCCGTCAATGAACTTTTTCAGATCCGTGCAAAGGCCATCTGAGTGAAACCTTTGGAGAAATGGACAACACCAAATAGCTGCATTTAAGAATGGCAAAAAATAAAATAAAAATGAGTAAGCAAAGCTTCTGCATGTGTCACTGATTTAAGAGAAAATCTGGATGAAATCAGATGACTTTCTGTTGGAGACAAAGATGGACCACATCTTGCATTACCAGGCTGATCCAATGGGAGGCATTTTAGGGGCTAAATACAGCATTTAGCTTTGCTATATTGCCTTATATTGTCCATTGAAGAACAAATGTAGAAATCATTTAACAATCAGCAGCTTAAACTCTAACTTGCAATGTCTCCAAATGGGGATATTTCTCACTGCTGTGAAATAGCCCGAGAGCCATTTGTGGCCCCTGAAGTAATTGTGTGTGTCCTCCGGCTGCAGCTGAATGATGACACAAATTTGGCCCATCAGCACAGGAGGTTGATGCAAAATGAGACTTTTAATTCTTTAATTACAACCTTACAATAAAAAATGTTAGACATGAACGGTACCTCTATTTATGTGATCTTTTTGAAAATTTTATTCTGTTTAATTAAAACGAGACTGCCTCAACCTAATCTATGATATCAGGCTAAATACAGCGAGACCTACCAAACAGTGTACCAAATACTGTTTGGATTAATAAGAACGGACTACAAGGATGCACGGGTTTCACAAATGTACAACTTGTGAAAAAAGAGCTTAGCATCCAATGTAGCTGTAAAAGGTTTGACGAACATCCTTATTCTTCTTTGTTGCATCTTTTCCCCCTTTCCTACCAATGCCATTTCCTGGTAGACTATGTTTAAGAAAAGGCCACTAGTTCCCAAAAGGAATACCGGTAGATTAAAGTTGTTTAATTTTTCAAGCACACAAAAAAAGTAATAAAACTCTTTTCCGATTTTTTTATTTAATTATTTAATTATGCAACTGTGTTTAATGGACTAGTGAAAAGAGCAGCCCCATTTTTCACATGATGACTTGAGCCCACATGACACAAAGGTTGGTCACCCATGCAAGTAAACATAAAATCGTGTTTAAAAAAAAACAAAAAACAAAACTATTTTGGTCAATTCATATATATTAAATGATCAAATTTCATAAAAACAAAGAAAACATTAATAAAACAAGCTAGAGTTACTTAAATGCAAGATTAATGATAAACGCAGATAGAAAATAGTGGGACAAACTAATCTAAAAGCAAAGGAGTGAAAGTGGGTTTCATGTAGAAGCATTGATGGGAAGAAGCGGTTTGCCCAGAGTTTTTGGAACTACTAAGAGGATGAGGTTAAATTCTTCTAATGTTAAAGATTGAAACCATTCAGGATAGAAAAAAAGCACAATAACTGTATATATATTTTAGATTTTTTGTTTTAATTCATCATGGTATCTTTTTACCCATTTAACACTCTTATAGTTCATGCTAACACTGAATGTAGTTTATTCTTCCCTCTTTTGCATCATGTGATGAAGCTTTTAGATATAAAGAAATTAGCGTTTTAATAAAATACATTGCGTTATCGCCAATAGTTCATAAACAGTACACTAATTTAATGTATTTGGCACATATGAACTCCATAGATTTATATTTCAAAAGTGCAGAAAACGCACAAGCGTTTGCAGTAGGTGGAATGATCTGGTTTCAGTCCAAAACACTAATTAAAACCTATAAAACAGTGATGTATGTGTGCAGAAGCCTATGTGTTCTGCTTTGCACCCTCCTGCCAATTCAAGGCGGAAAAAAAGGGACGTTTCAGAGTAGTTGTCTCTGCCCCTGCTAATGTGGAAGTGACTGCTTGGGTCCTGCTGACCGGGCCTCTCTGCTCCAGAAACTCTACGTGAGTATATGTGAATGTTTCTGTGTTTACTTGTTCCCCTCGGTTACCGAGCGTCAGCTGCTGCTGGTGCCAGCAGCCGCCGGGGGAAGCCAGGAAAAGGCTGCTGAGGGTACCTTCCCTACACAGCTGTCACAGAGGAATGTTCACACTGAGCTGCAAATAAATTCATTTAAACTTGTTCCCCCATTGTGTCACTAACAGACAGCAAAAAAAAAAAAAAGACAAAAGGCAAACATTTCCTTAGTGGTTTTACTGCAGGAAGACCAGGCTAACAGTGCCAGTTCCTGGGCACAACATAAGTTTTATAGTAACAGCTTTTACAAAAACCTTCACAGTTTTACCAGCATGAAAAACACCACCTGACATAGAAGCAAACAAAACTTGATCAACTTGGTCTCATTACCGGTTCTCATCCTCATTTTGTACCGCAGTTGGCTCAAAAATCGATATTATTTCCCTTAGATGTTAAGTTTTTTAATGAATTAGGGTTTTTTTTCATATATATGTAATCACTGTTTTATCTTTCCTTTTTTTTTTTTTTACGTTTTTACGTTTAACAACATCAAAAAGTCTGCTGCTGGTAGAATCTGTTGTTGCCAGGGTGAATGCATTGCAGGTTTAACCTTCGCCAGGCATTCCCTCACCATAACTATTTTAGGCTTCTTATTAGTACTTGTGTCTATATACCTTTTTAGGTAATGCACCAGGGCAGGGCATGTGTTATTGTCAATGAGTGACGTAAAAAACAGAAATAAGGAAAAGGGAGGCAAGAGCGTTCTGAGTGTGGCTATAGTGGATAGAAAAAAACTATACAAAAATAAACATTTATCCTCCTAATCTCTACTGTAACACATAGGAGCAAGCAGGGGCCGGTGCTCATGTTATGGACCCTGCACTAAATACTTATGATGTGTCTTATTATGATTGATATGTTGTTGCAAGGAAACCATAACCATTTTTATTGTAAAGTTTGATTTTAATAAGGATAAAAAGTAACTTTTTCCTCTTTCAGCTTCTGTCACATTCAGTGTTCTGGTGAACTGCCAGGAAGCCACTCCCCTCTGCCACTTTCTACTCTGCCTGCTGGAGATGGGAACCAGGTGGACTCAATCTCTGGCAATCAAAGATTGTACTTTTGGTGTGGCTGACCTCTCACTCTTGCACAACATGCAAGCCAAACAGTAGTGGTAGTACATGCAAAGTGCAAACCGTGCAATAAGTTTCTAAGAAGAACTGTGAAGGACAGCCGGTAAGCTGATTACAGTTGCTCATTCACAAGGACTGACTGATTATCTGGTTGAATGTTTAATATTATTAAAAGGGGAAAAATACACTTGGTGTTTATTAGTTAAAGCAGAAAAAATGTTGATAAAAATGCTAATTTATTAATTACTGTTTAATTTCACTATAAAATATTTAATGTTTATTATTCTTTAGGATTAAATTATTTAGATTGGTAGTAATTGATTTTATTTTTTTTCTTGTTGATTTCTTAATATAATTAGATGTTTTTTTGTTTCTTTTGAGGGTTTTTACCTGTGTGATTGGAGGAAAATTATGACCATCATAATAAAGATGACTAAAATGAAGACTCCTTGAGTGAACACCAGTTATGTTTCACAGAAGAGACTTCCCTTTCGAGTGGGGATTGCACATCTAAAGATCAAACCTAAACAGAAAACTTGACATTCAGACAGGCTCAATTTTTATCTGCTAGCCCTTAGGTGTCCATGGTTGCAATGGCTCTCTTTAGCTCACTGATGTTTCAGACAACAAACTATTGCCTCGTTTTTCATTACGTTTTAGCTTTTCTTGTCTGTTTCTTTTCCTTTTTTTTGTTAAATATCACAGCAGTTCAAGTTTTAACACCACTAGTGACAAACATTTACTATGCTATATATCAATTGGTTGAAAATAGGGTTGTTTTATAACCAACTTTAAATTTGTTGTGCCTTAACGTACATCATTTGTCATTAGTATAATTAAACCTAAAAGTGAGAAAAAAAAAAACTGATATAGGGGAAAAAACAAAACAAAAAAAGATTAGATTTTAGGCCATATTTCGCAGGCCTACTCTCTGTCTTAGGGTGTGTGGCTCTTTTACTTCAATGCCAGTCGCCACTGTCTCTAAGCCTAAAGTGTTCCCCATATAACTGTCCCATCTCCACAATCCCTACACTAACATGCACAAACACATTCACACTTACACAGCCATACATACATTCCAAATTTAAGGTAAATCAAACATTGTATATATATTTTTCTTGCAACCTTTCAACGCTACTGACATATTCAAACCTAATTCAAAAACGGCAACTAAGAAATCAGGTAACTACAGCTAGATATACTTTATGTGTAGCAAATCTGCCCAGAAACATGTAGGTAACCAGTTCCTCCATGTGTTATGCTTGACATGCCATGGCAGGACGTGTGGAAAGAAATTAAAAGTACCATATGTAGTGAAATGCAACAATTTCAATAAAACACAGGCTAAAGTGCATGACGAAAAAAATCTGACAGTGATTCGCGTAATTAAGAGAACTATGAGTCATTTAAGAAACCTCAAACATATTATATTGAACCTCTGGCATTAAGAAAATTACATATTTGTTTAATCTATAAACCTGATTTTTTTCAACACAGTGCTTTTTAACATGAGTAGAATTGAATAACATTATTCATATTGTGTATTAACTTCATAACTGAATTAATGTATAATCCATAAATGATTCATCTTGAAGAGTCAGGGTTAGTAAATGGTGTAAAATTTAAAGAAAAATGAATAAAATAATTTTAATCTTCATTAATTGTTGAATAATTATTTACGTTCAAAGCCTGTTTTTGTCACTCGTTTAAAAGCAATAAAAAACTGCTTTTTAAAAAGGCAATTTTTGCAGAAGCATTCCATCAGAGGGCAGTGTTGCGCTGTAACTGCATGCTGGACTCGAAGCAAACAGCTGCTTGGTATTCTGGACATGAAACTGTGAGTTTACAATGCAGAGCTGCCATCACAGCTTTCTAAGCATGGCAGGTGAGGAGGCTGTGACCTAAGACAGGTGAAGCTCCATCAGGTTGGCAGAAACAGAGCCACGGGGGAGAGATAGAGAAAGAGAGAGGGGGTAAGGATGGAAAAAAGATAAGGTTTGACCTTTTAACCCCCTCCCTGCTTCATATTTTATGACTCAGAGTCACACTTCATGAGCGAGAGGAACATTACTATTCAGGAGATTAATTTTTAGGAAAACTGGCCACGTCGGGTGCCAAGACATCCACTAAACCAATTAGAAAGGTGCATGTGAGTGTATATATGGTCTACAGGGAGATACTGCTGTCTCATCAAATTGTTCTGACACAACTACCCTCTACCCCCCGCCCCTACTCTCCTTCTTTAACTGAGACACACATCTTCCCGCTTTTACGTGTCAGAGTCAATTTGTATAGGTCATTAATTATTTCAGCGGCTGTTCTTTTCCTCCAGACATATTTTACTTCTCACATAGGGAGAACAGAGGGACAGCTAGACACTGTTAGGGAAAAATTTTTGGGGGCTTTAATGGGCAAAAAGTACAACAAACATTAGAGCAGGACTGTTAGGATGCCACACTGATGGATTTGAGAAGTACAGATCTCCAGACGGGATTAGAAACCCCACTGTGGCCCAAATTCAACTAATTTCTGAACAGCTTCAGGACAGGCAAACTGTAAAACCTGTGGTGAGGATGGATGATTGTGGGATCCAACTGGAAAGCTTTATTCTTAATGTTCTCCAAAGATAATGTCCTTTATAGAGATGAAAAAAGGAATTCGAAAGGTTGTTTGAATCAGATTATTTTTACGTTGTCCAGTGACCGCCCCGGTCAGAATTTCAAAAATCCAATATTTTTCAGTCTAGTAAACACACCATCCATCAGGACATTATGACAGCACAGTGGGAAGAAAAACAGAGAGGAGGTTTTTCAGTATCTGTGAGGTCAAGTTAGAAGAAACACAAGATGTGTTTTATTTTGGGTTCTAACTTTTTGGAGATTTCCAGCATAAATCTGGGGAGCATAAACTTCAAGCTTCAGGCTTCAAGCTTTGCTTTTAAGACATTTAGGTTAAACTTACAGATGCATTCACCTGATAAAATTAATTGGTGTGTTTTTCTGAATTAACAAGATAATTTTTATGAAAATAAACAATTGGTTTTTGCATAGGCGAGAATAAAAAAAATAATAATAAAATAAAACAATTTAGTTTTTTTTTAATTAATATATTTTGAAGTTATAAGTGAAAAAGTTTAGTTTTTCTCAAAACAATAGGAAACTTTTTCAAACATCTTGTCTTGTTCTAGATAAACATTAATCTAAGCAGACATATTTTGAGTTGCTTCGCTAAGAAATGTTATTACTAAGAAATGATGAATGGCACTAAAATGTTTTACTTGTATTTTTGAATGTATTGAAAAAATGCTAATAAGGACATCTTTGCAAAGAGAAGGTCCCAAACATTTGGCAGATAAACTTACAAGGGAAGGGGGGAAACATCCGTACCATGACTAGTGCTCAGCGTGCAGTCATCTTAAAGTCGACAAACTAATAGCGATCACATCTATATAACTAAAAGACAAGATCATTTCCTAGTGCCTCAATATTAAAAGAAAATAAAAAGGAAATAAACAAACAGGACATGTTAAACCTTCTGTGAAGGAAAAGCGTCTCGCTTAGAAAAAATGCAAAACCAACAGTAACAGAACATATAGTGTGAAATCAGCAGCATCATCTTGTTTATTCAGAAAAACAGAACCTTTTTATTTCTTTTTGTAAAATTATCATCTTAATTCAGAAAAAGATGAAAAGGGAGCAAAATGCAGTATGCTTCTGTATAAACCCTCATACAATATCTTATCATTTAAAAGTTATTTTATTACCGTAATCATCTAAATCAAACTCCTTGTTCTGACACAAGAAGCTTGATAAGAAACCATTGCAATTTGCCTTTGTTTTAAAATACAAGATGCATTGTTTGATCTGACATTAAATTTCTCATAACTACAACATTATATGGTTACTGAAATAATAAAATAAATCTAAATGTTTGATTTAAATTTCCTGAGCATTGTTCCATGACTCCTTTTTTAATTTATACATTTGTATGTTTGGTGAAAAGGGAAAAAAGCTTAAATCAGGATTTAAATTTTATTTCTGTCCAACTTCATGTGTTTTTTTTTCAGGTATACCCAAGCGTATTTTTAAAAGAGAATAAATAAACAGATACGGTCACAGAGGAAGCAGAGTCATGCATCAAGTGCAGCCCACCTGGTAAAGGGGCTGAATTGGACTGATCCTGGTAAATAATCAGATTTGCTATGGGCCTGTTATTTCCATGGACGGTCATTCTACAAGACATCCTCTGTTTATCTTTAGCCACTGTTTCGATTGACTGTTGAATGACAACTTAATGCCCTCTGGAACCTGCTAGCTCCTTGCATATCAAATGTTTTACATTCCTATCACTTCTCGTCCAACCTTTTTTAGTTCTCAACAGTTTTTTGTCAGTGAGAAGTAATGCAGCTGATCTGCAGAGCAAGAAGATCCTCACCTGTTGGGCTTAGGGAACAGGATGGACGTGTCAGGTTTTCGGATGAAGTACTCATCAGCCACTTTGCTGATACTCATCACCGTCTGTTTCTCCCGGCGGGGAATGATCTCGAGGGAAAGTGGGGTTTCTACTTTTGGACGCATCATGCATAGATAGGTAGGCAGGATGTGTATAAAGATCTGGGTGGAGAAGGAGAGAGAGAGCAAAGAGTTAGTGCTACAGTTCAGATGTTACCAGGTTCCAGTTTATGGAGATATAATATGACGGATGTCTGGTCAAAGATTATAAATAATGATATTTCTTTTTTATTTACCAAGTACATTTTTCTCACATAGGACTTAGCAAGAGCAGACAAAATATATACTTCACACTAGAGCAGCACAATATATTGCAAAAATATCATGATTTTGATTTCAGTTTCTGCATAGATCATATTGCAAAGGATTGTTTGGAGTGTAATAAATGATATATCAAACTGTGATGGTAAATCCTAATTTAGAAAGATGAAAACAGGTAGAGATCACAGATAAAATCGGCATTGGAAGAAACACCGTATTAACCTCATTGCCTAAAATCATGCAGCCTGACTTTACATCCCAGCAGGAAGCCATGTGGTCGGTGCAAAATTCCCTGCTACCAAACATCTATTAGCCGGAAGCCTAAAGATAATTACAGCTTCATGAGGTCAGAGACCCCCCAAACCCACCCACACCTCCCCGCCGCCGCCCCAGGAACTATGAATTCCTGAGACATAGTGAGAGCTATAGGCTATAAAGCTTTGATAAGTCATTGGAAAGGTGTTTTGCAAGCCCTTTGTGTTTGATCATAGTCACTGTACTGTAGGTATTATATGAGCGTTCCTTTGAGGATGACTGCAATCAACCACTTTGTCAGCAAAACAAACACAAACACCTTTCAACCCAAACAGACCCTTCAAGTGACCAGTAACCAGACACTTAAACCCAAATATACATCTTTTTACCAGAATGTATTCAAATGATCTGTAATCAAAGGTGTCCTTTCTTAATTTCAGTACACAAGTTTTTAACTCAATCTTACAAATAACAAGAAACAAGGACCTTCTGAGACTCGCATATATAAGTTATATGAATAATCAGAACTGACCTTCACACTCCACAACCTCCAAAAAATTAGATATAATCAAAAAGATCATATTTAAACAGATCAACATCTTCAAGAACAATCCCCTGAAAGACTAAAACTAACACCAGCCTCTAAAAACACACCAAAAAGGACCCCCCACTATGGAAAAACAAAACAAAGGACAAAAAAAAATAATGATAATTGTGTTTAAACATCCTCTCAGGTGTTACTTCAGAAATATTTGAGAAAAAAACGAATATTCTCTAAAAAATTCAGATGTCTCTGGATTTTCCACTGAAGTAATCTGTGTGGTGAGACTGGTGTTGGGCCCCACCCATGTTCCTGCTCTTAAATTGAAATTTACAGTTTGATAGATCCTTGTGAGGGAACCAAAATCATTTCAAATTTGTCTTTTAAAGAATGATCAAGGCACTTAGTGATAAAGTAGCACATCACAGGGCAAAGTTCCAACCTTGATCAATATAACAAATGTTGTAATTGGCTTAATTATGTTCTGGTTGATGCTTTCAGATGCTTTTTGTAAAAACTCTCACCTGACCCCCCCTGACTGACAGACTCAGTAATAATGTCACTGGCACTGTAGCACAATGATATTTAATGAAGGGTAAAAAACCCTAAATTAAAATTTTGAACTTCTATATGTTGAGAAATGAACATTAAGTCATATTTTGGGCAACTATGATATTTCATTCGAACTGGATGTGAAAAACAAAACTGTGGAGTAAAAAGTTTCCTGTTGTGTAATAGTGGGTTTAAGAGTTCTTCTTTTCTCTGGGTTTTCATCAATGAGATCCTAGATGCTGAGCAGTACTGGGTGACACAAGAGAAAACTGATACTTAATTTATCCAAATGTAACATCCTGTATTGCATTCCATCCAGTGTTTTATCCCAGCTGAGGAATACTATTCCTGCAGCATGATGCTGCCAACACCATGTTTTACTATTGGTGTGTTCACGGTGATATATAGAGATAGTTTTTTTTTTTTAGTTTAGATTTAAGACTTCTTTAATCATGAGTTTCTTCCTCCTGCTCCTAATGAGAACCACATGTGTAATACATACATATAATAGAGTCTCTCACCTGAGCTGTGAATCTCCTCAGCTCCCAAACAGTTATTTCTGTTTTACCTACTTCCTTTGATTTTTGCGCTCCTTGCTCAGTGTGTCGGCTAAACAGAACGGGTTTCCTGGTCGGATTCCACATGGTTGACTAAACCGAGCTATAAGATCTTCAAATTGAAGATTTTTATATCCATTCATTTTTGTGTTAAAAGTGCCTGCTTTTAATTTTTACTGTCTGTCTATCTTCGATTCAATTAAATCAGTTTATTCATACAGCGCCAATTTAGATTTCATCTCAAGGCACTTTACTAAAGACAATTAAATGAGATCATACAGTCAAACTGATTCAAAGTTTTCTATCTAAGGAAAACCAGTTGATTGCATTGACTCATTGACTCAAATACAATCCCTCACACTAAGCATGCTTGTAGTGACAGTGGAGAGGAAAAACTCCCTTTTAACAGGAAGTAACCTCCAGCAGAACCAGACTGTGAGCGGCCATCTGCCGAGGCCGACTGGGGTTCAAGGAGACAGAAGCAGAGAATTATCTTCAAGTAAGCATGAGGGAACAATCAGTGATCAGCTCTATGAGGGTAATCCTAAAAGTTTGATTTGCCTCTAAAGAGCTACTCACCGATCAATTTAATTTCAGAATACTGTTAACTTAGGCAACAAAAAAATTCACATGCAGATCAGTCCCACCAGTAGAAATAATCTAATGCAACAAATGAGAGAAAGCAGGGACTCTCTTTATTATTCAATCATTTTAAAGCCTTAAAGAAAAATATGTTTCTAAACTCCACTGATATTTCATCTTTAATGCTCTATATTCCATCTATTAGATTTTCTACACACAAGAGGCTTTTAAAACCGTTGAAGAAACCATCCACTGGAGAGCACTTCTTTATGAACAAAGACATTCCTCACCATAAGGCGCAGCAGTAACTCAGCTCATGTTGTCTTTTGACATGTTTGTAACCCTCTGCATAGCTGGATGTCTCACATTCATAGATGTACAACAGGATATAATATCTGCTCAGTCCAAATCGTAACATAAAACCACTGAGACATGATTGAAGACGAGAGCCTAAAGTCTTAAAAAGATTTTCTAAATGTGGCTGTTTTCCAGAAAGTTTTATCCCAGGCTTAAATCCAACAATTCGATCTAAAGTGTACATTTTACACTTTTGAGACTAATGTAGTGAAATTGCCTTAAACTGCCTTTGGTCTCAATGCAGCTCTGATGCCTGTTGATGTGTATTAGACACAAAGAGAAAATTACAATATAAGCCCTTTGCAGGCATGTTTTTTTTTTATTGCATTTGGTTAAATAAATAATAAAACTAAATATGGACCTGAATAACATTTTCATACACAAGAAACATATTTACATACTGTTGAGACATATAAAAATTTTTCTGCTGTGCACTAGTGCAAGTGTGTCAGGTGTAATGCCCAGCGGTTAGATCCCAGCGTGCATCTTTAAGATACAAGATTATGCTGAGAGTTTCTTTTTTGCATCACACAAAACAATGATTTGTTTTTGTGCAATATTCAACCTAGAGATTATTCATTTGAATATTTGTTTGAAAGAAAAAAAAGATAAGGTTAGGCCTAAAACAAATTTACACATGATCTAGGACTTGTTTTAATGTAGGGAATTAGACCAAATGATCAATTTTATACTTTTTTGCTGTGAATTTATATTTATAAATATGGCTTAAACTGAATTAGGAAAAAACCTGACATTAATATGTCTAATAAATGTTAGATAAGGTATCAAACAGTGATAAATGGGGTTTTAGATAATACTTTACTTGCCAAACTTTTCTTCCTTCAGGTGAAATAAGTAGTAGATATAAAGGTCAACTCCTCCGCTTTAGCTCCATTAGACCGTGTAAATCACCTGTATGCTAGTACTGAAGTACAATCTTAGGTGAATGTACCCTGAAATTGTGACAGACTGACGTATAGAGCAGTAATTAGCTTTACATAATGTACAATGTGGGCCACAGCTGCTGATGGAGGTTAATGGTACAGGATGACATTTGCATTGTCGACGCTGCTTTAATCCAACCATTTCTGCCTCCCTCACACAGATTCATGCTGAATTAACTACAAAATGCCCAATACAAGATAAAGAATTTCTTCTTAACAACATAGTTTCTCTAAATTTTAAGCTTTAAATAATTTTAATGTACTTTATGCAGTTTTCGTAATAATTTATTTTTAGACCTAACAACACAGAAAAAAACAACTAACATCCTTAAGACAGATCCCCAAAACCTAAGCTGAGTGGCGTTGTGTTTGCAATCCAGCGCAGTGAGGACTGTAAATCCTCCTATATTGGAGAACCCAAACAACAACTTCAGGAACACGTGGCACAACATAGGAGAGCCAGCAGCCTGAGAAAGTATCAGCTGTACACTTGCATTTCGAGAAAAAAGGACACACCTTAGAAGACCAAAGTGTTCAGATTTTTGACAGAAACAACAGATCGTTTCAAACAGGTGACAAGGAAGTCAACTTTGTGAAAAAAGAAAAGCAATCAATGCAAAGAGGGGGAGGAATCGCGGATTCAGCTTCCAATCATTTACAGTTCAGTCATGGAACTCATTCCCAAAAAGTTACAGAAGCACTCCCACTATAATTCAAAAGGCCAATCACAGATCCGACAACAAAAGGCTCCAACAATCCATACAAACAAAAGGCAGCTATTTGATTTGCATCTCACTTGGAATGTGTGCAGGGGGATGGACCTCCATGCTGCTTAAACATACCAGCTTTCCAATTAGAGTTTGCTCTAGTGCGAGCCAGCAGAATTGGTAAAAGACTCCTGGACAGGTGTAGAAAACGTCTTAAAAAATCTGAGCAAAAGTCCAGATACCTTCCAATTTAAGCCTGTTTGTGTTTCTTTGTTATAGTTCACTATATTAACCTTATTTGCTAGAATTACCTCTTTTGTGTTTGAATATACATCTATAATCCTGAAACTCTCTCCATCCATAGCTGACAATTATAAAACTCTCCAATTCCTCAGTTTTGCTTGAAGCTTATCATTAACATGTCAGAAAGCTGTGACTCTTACCTTGCGTACCCACATTGGCATCATGTGGGTGTTGGGGGAACGATGGTGCAGGTTGAGGACGACCACGCTCAGGATGACGGAGAAGGTAACCAGGATCATGGTGAACATGATGTAGTTGACAATGATTGGGACACCCAGTGAAGTCTCAGGGATCTTATCAGCCAGCAGCAGCAAGAACACGGTAAGGGTAAGCAACACATTGATGGACAGACCCATCTTCTCTCCTGAGAAAGAGAAAAATAACAAAAAGATAAATAAAGAGCACAAGGTCACTCCTTGCTAAAAGAGCACAGAATCAATTTGTTGACTAGTATTCCCATCTCCCTAAAAGCAGGGTTTTTGGTTTTTTTTTTGAGACTGTAACATACATCTTTATCAATGTTCTTAAAAAAAAAAGAATTGTTGCTGATCATAAATCTAAAGAAAGACGTATCAATCAGATTTTAAGTCTATCATTGTAGACATTTAAACCGATGCCTTTCAGAGAAGTTTGTCACCACTATACTTCTTGAAGTAATTGAGTTGAACAAGCCATTCTGTACACCAAAATTTCATGTTAAATCATGTTAAAAACAGATGGCACTTGGTCCAAATTGTTCACTTTGGGCTTGAGTAACAAAGATTTATCTGATTGATTAATCTACCAATTTCTGTTTTTATTCATTGCTTAATAATCAGGTAGCAAAAGGTTCCTCAAATAAAATGTTTTATAGAATTAAACCACGTGAAACTAAACTTTTCTACTTCAGTAGTTCTAGATAGAGCTTATTGATAGACAAACGTTTTTGCGTCAAAGGCAATATAGTTGACCATTATTTGAATAATCGTTCTGCTGGATCTTCTTCCTGATAAAAGAAAGTTTTCCTCTCCACTGTCGCTACAAGCAAGCTTGTTGTGAGGGATTTCTTTCAATTAGTCCCTGCAATCAGCTGGTTTTCCTTAGATGGAAAACTTTGGACCAATCTGACAGTATGATCAGGTTGAATTGTCTCTATGAAGTGCCTTGAGGTAATGTGTTGTGAATTGGCGCTTTATAAATGAACTGAACTGAATTGAATTGAATTGAGGGTGGGGTCCTGACTCCGGCGATGTCACGTGTCTTGATTTCCTTGACTTCATAATGGCTTTAAGAACCGTTCTTTGTCTACCCTGTAACCCAGAGCCTGTTTGCTTTGGGTGACCCTACCAAGGACTTTACAGTCCCCGACAAAATACCCTCTAGTATTTCTTGGCCTCCACGACATTAAGGCATTGGTTAAAGGAGTGGTGGTGAGAGCTTTAGGACAATTAAAATACAACCCTTACATTTCTAACAACATTGTGTAACTTTTGACCAATGTTAAAGGTATAGTTGAGGATTTTTGCAAATTTTTGAAAAGACCCACCCTCTGTTCTTAAAAAAAATGCACATGCAATACTCCTATTAAACGCGTGTGAGAGCATGCACAAGCCCAGTTCTCCTCTTGCACTCTCAGTTTAAAGGTTGCTGTTTGCATCACTCATTCAAGCTTTCTTTCACAAATATGATTTGCAATTTTTCCACTATGTCAGACTCATGTCCAGTAAGAGAAAATGGAGACAAGTACATAGGACGGCTTTACATATACATATGACCAGAGTAATAGATAATTAGGAGGACCACTTATTTTGATAATCCACCCTGAATCAGAAAATCCACCTCTATACCTTTAACTCTAATCGAGGTAAGAAAAAAAAATAAATCAGGTCAATTTAAAGCTCTTGGTGCACATTGATGCGACAGGAAAGCTCCCCTTCAAAATAAACTTTTCAACTTGAGAGGGTCAGATCTGTCACTGAATGAGTCATGATATCCAGAGTGTATGGAGTTTATGGATGTATAATAAATATATTGGAGAGAACACCTTTTCACACTGATAGCATAAACAGATCAGGACTCAGTTGTCAACTCTGTTGAGACTGGCCAATTGGAACACGGGCCCGCCCATGGCCCAATTTTCACAACAAGAGGAAAAATCCTGAATCAAGAGCAAATGCTTAATTGGTTTTGAGAGAGAGAAGAAAAACTTTTTGAGAGAAATCTACTTTAGAGAGTAAATGTTTTCCCAAAAAACAAAAATTTCTCTCAAAGTGTTTTTTTTTGTTTAGATTTAATCAACATCGGTTTTTGCCATCAGGGTGAACAATTGTTCTCTCCAAAACATATATTTTACTTTCAAAATTGTTTTTCCCTTTCAGATCGCTTTCCTCTTGGATTTAATAAGTACCGTACACAAAGCTAACTCCATAGTGTGCAGCTCTATGGCAGTCAGAGCCTTTACCAGTGGCCTTTACAAGGGCTAATCCTAATTTACACTTCTAGCGCCCCTAGTGGCCAAAAGTTATATAATTTTGCATTAAATTTAGCTATTTTATAAACTATACTCTAGAAGGGTTAGGGTTATATGACATTTAGACTCTCAAAATGTAACCTAGAAAAGGTCCTTTAAGTACAAACATTGACTGGTTGCACATAAACATGCATGTTTCAGCTTAGTTCCAGCTAATTTACTTTAAATCCTCCCGACAAAATTAAGAAACAATAGTTTACTTAATCCAGTATTTCCAGTATTATTTATTTAATTAATCTATAACTGCTGAGCTCATTTTATAGCCAAGAGTTTAACTTTTTCAAAGGCTTTACCTGCATCAGGAGGCAGGTAAAAGTTGAATATAGCGATGATTGTGATGAGGATACAGGGGATGATGATGTTGATGATGTAATACAGAGGCTTTCTCTCTATGATCAGGTAGAAAGTCATTTCTTCGTAGATGCCATCGTTCATGTTTTTCCTGCTTGGCTTGTGTCTGATGTACCACTCACCACCCTCTGGAGAAGAATTAAAACAGGGTAGATTTAATCAACTTGACACCTTGGTGGTCTCTAACTTGGGTTTGCATATAATCAAGTCGATAAAGACACTCCTCAACCCCCATGGAAAAGAAATGTTAAAAAAAAATCACATTGCAAACTTTCAGTGATTTTCAGTTTATGTTTCATATTTTGCATATCATCTATGGCTTATATGATTTTCTCTTAACAGTGTTTACTTTTTTATTAATTTCATACAGTACATATTATAATGAATTTCACAGGGAGCATGTAAAAACTATGTATGTGAGGTTAATGAGTATATGATATGTTTCACTATGTCCAATTAAACAACGTATAAGCCTGCTAAATCTATATCATGAACAAATGCAATTAGAGTCTCTGTATTTGTTTATAGTCCTATATCTGGAGCTCATAGAGGCTGCTGCTGTATTCAGGGTTCAGCATATCAAGTCATTAGAACGTGTTTAGTGATTTGGAAAAGTTTTTATATTGAATGCCCTTCTTGATGCAACTGAGATTCAAAAATGACAGTGAAAGACAATAAACACTTGCCATGGGAAACTTCTATAGAAGAAATTGTATGTGGTCTTCATATGTTTAATGTTAAACTGATATTTTCAAATATGTAAATTAATAGTCCAACCCTTGTTTTAATTTTTTGGAATCCCGCTTCCATTTCATCACTTCCCTGTTAAGCTTACTAGCCTAAGCTTAACAGGAGAAATATTTCGATATTCAGTAAACAGGGTGATATCTGCCTGGAATTTAAAACTCAGGGTAAAAAAAAAACCAAGGCAAGAATATTTTTAAAGCATCATTTAAACCAGGGCTGACCAATCTTTTTAAGACTAAGGTCTTCTTCATGGGTACTGTCGTAAGACGGGCTAATAATGCTGACCTATGAACTGGAGGAGTCAGCATTTACCATAACTATATATAAAAAAATATTTGTATAGTTTCTTTTCATTTCTAATTAGGTTTTAAATATTCCCATTTATAAATCCCTATAAATGCTTAAATGTTTTAAATGATCTATATGATAGAATGCTCTATAAAGGATTAAAAAATTAAAATAAGAGCAGCAGCATAAAATAACATTTCAAATTTAGTCCACTGGTGAGTTGTTCTTTTTTCAGAAAATACTGAGGGCATCCCATGTGGTCCTTTAGGCAGGAAACACGTTGGTGACCTCTGCTTTTAAACATTAATGATAAATATTAAAAAATTAATTTATTTTGATGGAAATTGCAAAACATAAGCTGTTTACAGGAATCTGTATTATAAACCTATATGAAAGAACGTCCAAGAACTGGTTGTAGTTTGTTTGTCTCGTAGTTCAGTTTCACTAATGGCTGGTCAGTTAGTTAAGTTTGCAATACAATTGTTGTACTAAGAATATGGTATTTTAAATTGCTGTCTTGTGTTGTTCCTGTGAGTACTAATGCATATTAGTTTCCATCAAATGAGATAAAACCTACGGGATTTACATGTTATTTTTTTCATAGGGGATCTGGCAAAGTCATAAATGACTTAAACATAACAAAGCCACAATTCGTCATTAAGGTAAACATAAAAAATAGTTTCCCACTCACCACTGAAGCCTTCATCTAACTGGATCTCCCTGATTTCATTGCCTCTTGAGTCTCTTGCATATTGCAGGTCGATCTCAGTTGAATCGTATGTGTAAGAGCGAAACTTCATGGAGCAATTCTGCCAGTCAAATGGGAAATATGTCACCTGGAAAGAAAGAAAATAAAACCCAGGCGTTTAAATCACCAAACTTAAGGAAAACCTTTAAGAGAGTAAATAAAGATGATTCCACCTTGACTCCACAGGAGCTGCAGTAGAGAGCAGGGGGCGTCCAGGTTACCCTGCCATCACTGTAAATCTGAACATGAACTTGAAGGGCCACATCAAACACTCCATCATTGCTGCAAACAGAAACATGGAAAAACATTTATGAAAAAGTTTCTTGCTTTTACATTTCTGTTATTTAAATTCAGTAGATTATTCCATCTCTTTTTGCATTTATAGACCAAAAAAAATCGAAAGTTTAATGAAAATTGAAATCATGGCTTGGTGGAATAATGGGAGAGAAAGGACTACTTTAAGTATGTTTTTTTTTTTTTTTTCTTAAATACTATTTCATAACTCTTTTAACCGCCTCAAATAAACCTGCCACTCTGCTCCACAATCTGAAACCTGTTTTGTTCCTGAGTTTTACTTATTTTGATCCTCTAAACAATGCTCTACCTGCACTAGGTAGTGACCTACTGCCTACAGATCAAATTCAGGTGATTTCATAACCACATTTCCATGCAGTATTCTTATCCCCAGTTGTCGAAGTGGGTATGAAATGTTCCCTTTGTGGGCATCGATTGACAAATGGTTAATAGAAGATGTTCCATTACAGATGGCTTAGATGGATAACTTGAAACCATAACTGTGATCAAATTTTTACAATCTCTTAATACTGGAAATTGTCTGTAAAAGCTTACCTTTAACTGTGGGCTAGACTGTGCCAAAATATTGAAGTTAGTTGCACAGCTATGTTGTTTAATTGACTAGATCCTAAATGATATTAAAACATTTTATTTGGCATTAAATGTGTTGGCAAATGTTGGAACATGTACACAAACCTTTCTTGGCAGAAAGACTCAATTGAAACATCCATATATAGTCGACAGTTTAAGGCTTTTACTATGCAGGTAATTAATCTGGCTCGTATTCCTATTGTTAGTCTAAATAAAACCCAACTATCTGTGAGGCTTAGACTGAAATGAGCAATATTGATCACCCATTATGGGAAGTACACAGAGACTTTTGTTGATGTAGATATTTGTGTGTTAATGTAAGCGGTTCCAAGCGAAAGCCTTGCATACTGAATTTGCTGAACGGTGCCATCAGCCCAATTATTAGAGAGCCATGCTGCTTAATTGCCTATAAAATGTTGATAAAGGGAGTAGTGGGGGTATTTACAGTGGTGTTAATGGGAGCATGAATGTGTTGGGATATGGGAAAAAGAAGGCCTCCACTTGCTTCTCTTGGTGTGTCTAAATAAATGCACTCTTCTGCAGTTTTTCCACTGGATGAATGCTTTAATGTACCTCCTCTTTAGCTGATGTCTATTAACAACAATGTGATCATTCACCTGCAAAAGGGATTTTCGAATTAAAGGGTCCCTTGTTCATAAATTTTGTTAAATCAGAGCACTAAAGTTTACCTTATAGTAAGATTAAATCAAAACAGCTGAATGTTTGGTTATATTTCAAATAGAATAAAACACAAACAGGGCGGAATGTGCATAGTCTGTGAATGAAAACAATCAGGGGAAATAACAGATAAGTTAAAAAATATCAGAATTTTCGTCAGTGATGTCATATTTGACTTAAGTTAGTCCTTGTTTTTCTGGGTTTCAGTAAGTGTCAAGGTGGTGGATGTGATTGTGAACCCAAACGCAGAGTAGAAGGAGGCTGAGATGAGTTTTTTTTCTGATTTAATCAAAAAGGGTAACAGAAACAAAATCAAAGAATAAAATACAGGAGACCAAAAAACCAGGAGATGTCAGGGGAAAACACACACGAGGAGCCAAATAACAACAAGAAACCAGCACTGATGAGCTGCAGAGGGGGATTATATATGGGAGATAGAAACAAGAGTGAAGAAATCAGTTAATTGGGAGCAGGTGTGGACAGAAGCAGCTAGAAAGGAGCCAAGAGGAAAAGAGAATGACAAAAATGGGCAACAAAAAGTAACACAAAAACACAGCACTGCCAGAAAACAGCCACAAAGACACAATTTAAAGTGAAACTAAAAACTTCAAAAGAAACCTAAACTAAGGGCAGAACCCTTACAGTCAGACGCACAACAAGTTAAAGTCATTAAATGTCAGAGTAAGAAAAACTAACTTAAGATGCATGTCTTATCAGGCTTTTCATTGCTGCTATTAAGTAATTTTTAAAACAAAATTTAAACATAAAAAAAAGCCTTTGGAGCTATGAATCTCCAATAAAAAAATAAAAGAACCATACTAAATACTTTTTTGTGAGCAGAAACTAAATCACGTAGGTAAATATGTTGCGTTTCTATATATTTTACTTTTCTGTGTCATCTGTCAGTAGATTCTCTTTTGCATATAAAGTTATTACAGTAAACTAAGACAATAACAGCGCATCCACATGTTCCTCTGAAGTTTTAAAGCCCAATAATTAGCTTCAGATTTTTTTTTATCAATGCAAGAACCAAATAAACTAGATTCTAAATCCCTATTTAAACTTCTTCCAACCAGCTTAACCCGACCTTGTAAAGGCAAACACTGCATTTTAAAAATAAGCATAGATGTACACACTGTGACAGCCTTCTTTCATTCACCAATGCTAGATTTTACACAAACACCGCATAGCATTGATTGAAATCTGACAGTTTGCACACATGTGAATATCAGTGTAAAGCCGCTGTCGCACCTTGACGATTTAGCCAGCTTACGCTTGATGTCCCAGAAAGCTAAAACGCTGAATCGTTAAGGTGTGACAGGGACTTAAGCATGCTGGTCAGAACTGGAGCACAAAAGATGAAGCCTGGATTGAATTTTACTCCAACCCATAATTTAAAGCGAATATTTTGTTATCATATGAGGGCTCATATTATAAACTTTAGAATATATATATTTGTGGACATATACCACAAATGTGATCATCCCAAAGAACTGCAGTGACCAACACATTCCAAGTGTTAGCACCGTGGGTTTCACATGCTAATATATTATTCAGCTAGTTGGACAGAGTCGTACAGCAGCAGATGATCAGACTGAAAACAAATTGTATCGTTTCAAATGCCAAAGGTTTCCGAGTGTAGAAATTGCAAATTGGTAAGAGAAAAAGTAGGTACACATGAATATAAGTCACCTGATACATTAACTTTGATTATTGTCTTCTGAAAATTTAGTATTTTCATGCAGCCAAATCTGAATGATGAAATAATATCTTTCTTTTTTCTTTTTTTTTTTTATAATTCTGGTCACTTGGTGCTTGAGTTAAAGGTAGACTAAGTTTTCCTTAGAGAGCTTCAAAAATCCCTGGATATGGAGCATTCACTAAAGAGATTCACTAAGTTTTAAAAACATTTCTTGCAGCGCCCTCCTCCTTACTGGACTAATTGCCTTATCTTCACCTTATGAGCTCACAGTTAAAAGTAAAAACTCACTACCTTTTTCATCGGTGTCCGTTTAGTCTTGCACTAATATGCTGCTTTGCAATGTTCAGCTGTGTGCTTGGCCACTTCAAGCTAATTTCATTCCTCTGACATGAGAATGAGTATAATACATAGATGTAGCATGTCAGGCATAGCACAGTTTAAAGGAAATATTTGTGAAGACCCTAAAATCTACATAATTTTACTATGTAAAATGATGCAACATAGCTTTTTAAATACAAAACAGAAAAAAAAAGTTTTATTAAGCAGTCATTGGGGTCACTGTAAACGGCTTACTTATTGATTAGAACGATGTCAGGAAGCCACACCCTCGAAGAGGGAACACGTACCACCTCAATCCCATCGTGCTCCTTGGGTTTCCATTTCAGACGATAATCTGTCCATTCCTGTCAAAACGGTTCAGTTTGTGGTTTACATAGAGAGAGAGAGAGAGAAAGCGCAAAGGACAGCAGGCAGAAACATTGCTTATTCAGTACAAATGTAAAGCAGTTTGTCATTTCATCAGTTTTTCTACCCTTTCATTTTTCCACGACTTTAATTAGAGTCCTCGGGGATGATTTCCTTTTCATTTGCATAAAAATGACAAGATTTGCATATGCTTTCATTCTGCCTGGTATACTCCAACTGGTCTGTTTTCTGTGATGTATGGATGAGTAGAGCGTATGAGCTTAACATGGTGATGACCATGACAGATTTTCTTTTTACATCTTTAGAAGAAATAATGTAAAATCCTGAGGGCTACTGAACCTTTTACCCTGAGGCAGAAAGGGCTGAACTGCAAATACACTTACCAGATTCATAACAACGATTGTGCTCATTTCTTCATTTTTCATATTCTGAAAAAAAAAATAAAACAGCATATTTATTATGGCTGATACAAGTCATCTTTTTAGGGTTCCTGTATGTAGAAAAAAGAAACCAATAAGGTCAAAGAAACACCCTAAACTCATTGCTGATATCTTTCATTGATAGCATTTTCCTCTTTGCAGGAAATAGTTTCATCATTGCATTATTAAATACCTGAGTGTCTAAACAAACAGGGAGGTAAACAGAGAGCTCTGTTTGCTAAACAGGGAAAGAAGGTGGAAAGGAAAGTGGTAAAGGTTAATGTGCCGGGGTATCTTTTTATTCAATAAATGAAAACCAATATTTTAAATCATAAACCAACAAAAGTATGAGATATTTGTCTACTACAAGAGAAAGGAAGGGTGGAATCCATCTGGGTATTAAACACCAATATCATGGAGGACCCAATTAAGGGCCTGATTTTCAAAGATACCATATATGGGGTAATAAATTGTGGATGTGCTAATGGTGATTACACAGGTTGCTAGGAGAAATGTTAAAACAAGCAAACATTTTAGATTCCACTGCATTAAAGCGATCAGACTGGGTTTAATACTGGCAGTTTGAAAATAAAGATAAGGTTCTAGGCCATGTAAATGGATACAGTCAGATTTACAGAGTTGGATAATCCAGGTCCAAAAACCCTAAGATTGATATTATATTGATGCAAGTAGGCCCCAGAACGATGACTTCAAAACAGGGAAAGATTTATAAAGTATATTCACAATAATACTGCTTCCAACTAAAGCAATTGATTGGAGCTGGAGTTCTACTTTTAGGATAGAATGGGTCATAATGGCCTCACTCTTGAACACTCGTTGTAGAGAGGTCTTATTATTATTTTTTTCAAAAGCTACGTCATGATTTCCATTTTTTCTCATTATCATGTATTATTACTTTTGTAAATTTCAATTTCTTTTACTGTCAGCTTATTTGGAATAATGGAAGGGTATGTAAACTTTCAAGCAGCACTGTATATGTTTGTAAAATAATCAAAGAACGAAAACCGTTACTGTACAGCATATGTTTGAGAATACATCGAAAGAAGCAAGAAAAAATATTCTCCCAAAGCAGTGATGGTGCCCTTTTTTTTCATTCAATAACTTTATTGTTGCAGAAACGTTAAGAAAAGCCAGTAATTTAAGCTCTGCTGTTGCTGTGGCTTCTAGTGCACAAAGCTTTTGCAAGGACCATAATGCATAAAAACAAAAAGCTAGGGTTAAAAATAAAAAGATAAAATGTGAACACAAAATCCCAATGCAACAGAAAACACGATTGCAAAATATAATTGTTAGTCTGGGTAGGGGCTCATAAATGACATCAGCAATAAATGTGCTAATGTTAAAAATAATATTAATAGTAATGATGATGATTATTCCAATGCTGCCAATTTAAACTCTGTAATAAACTCCACTCTCTCTCCCAATCAGTAAGATATATTTTTGTCTTCAACCTGGAATGCACTGCATTGTGGGACACTCACTGTATATTTCATGGCTTGAGGCAGGAGGCCTTAGCTTCCCTGATCCTGAGCTGCTATTTAAAACACAGGCATGTTAGTGAGACAGCTGGGTCTGCATCAAAGGGGAGGTGGGGGTCGCCTTAAACCTATGTGACACAAAACACATTTCTACCATTACTGACACTTCTATTACAGGTCGCTGGGAAGGCTGAATGCTTGTAGAAAATCCACTTTCCAAGAGAGTTTCCTTCATGATGTTTAAGAGTCCTTTATGAACTCACTTCAGGTCTGAGGCTGACCTTGACTGGCTTCAGCTTCTGGGTACACTGACATGTGGATGGACATTATGAAGCTTGAAATACCATGAAAGTGCAAGGGTACAACTGTAGAAACTCTGATGTGTGTTCAGGCTTTATAGAAGGCCAAAGATGTCACAATATGTAGGAGATTTACAGTCATTCTGTGTTAAGTTTATTGTTTCACATAATCAGAGATAAAACCTGCCTGTGACATTAATGACATTAAAAATAGATTTTTCACAGATAAGAATTAGTGGTGTAAGGTAGGAGCCTTTTACTAAGTAGGCTTTTATTTTTTCCCCAGAAGGCTTTGTTAAATAGAACAATCCAGGTAGGCCCCAGAACGATGACCACAAAACTGGAAAAGATTTATAAAGTATATTCACAATAATAAATGGAACATTATCATGTATAAATAATACATGATAATGATAGTGGCTTTGTTAAAAGAACTCAACAGTCCTCCACCATCATAATCTGTATGGTTACAGTCGGATGTTTTTATTTTACAGCGCATCTCCTCCTATAGATTGAGTACCACCAGTGCAGAGCTTGGAGATTGACAAAAATTCTACATGAAGCACAGGATTAGGCTGTAGACGACAGATGCAGTCATTCTTTTTATTTTGGGGTATTTGGAGAATCAGAAGTGAATTTTAATAGGAATACTGTGTTGACTGTAAAGCACCTGGATAAATGAAACAAATGGGTCACAGTAAGTCAGCTGTCAACCTGATCCAGACTATAATATCAGGCATGACAGGGGAAGTTTCAATGATAACAGCAGAGGTCATGTGTAATGCAGACTTAAAGAGGGACAGAAATCCTTGAAATAAAGGTGACAGGGTCATTGTAAAAAAAAATCAGGTTAGTCGAGTCAGTTGTAGATGTGTACATGTGTATATCATAACATCACAGAAAAAATGCATTAAAACGTTTAATACCTTTAATTTTATTCAATTTTATTCACATATGTCATAACTAGTGTCTAAATGCATAAACATCAGACGTGGGACTGAATTGACCTTGAGCTACGTAGCAAACCATTACTCTTTTAACCTCTTCTAACCAGCTGGTGTCAGCGTATGTTAGATGAGAGCAGAGGGCAGCACCATTAGGAAATAATTATTTGTGCAGCAGGAAGGAATTTAGCAAAAATAAATAAAAAAATAACACTGTTTTAAGATTTAACAGTAAAGTTAAAGACTTATGGAATGTGCTGTATTGATTTGATTAAACTGACTCTGTAATCTGGTTTGAGAGGATGTCTTGTGAATTGGCACAATAAAATAAAATTGAATTGAATGGAAGTTACAGAAGAACAGGAGAGTATGTAAAACTCGCATTCGGGTCACTTATTTTTATTCACCACAATTTTTATATAATGCTAAACGAGCCTACTTTAAACTATATTAGTGCACTGATTCCAACGCTCACAATTCAGTGACAAGCACAACTGAGCTGTGTGAAGCTGACAACACAACATGAAAAAACACACAGCAAATTAAATTGTTAGTGATTGGTTAGTGTAGGTTTGGGCATTTTTAAAATAATAATTTGTGCTATTTTTGTTTCAGAGATAATAAACAGATCATCCAGAGGCCAGAGTCAGTTTATTTAAGTGTAGATTTTTGCAAGTAACACTGTAGTTTGTGCTGTTTTTTAATTTTGGCTGATGGCTTCACCATCCGACCAGACGTTAGTGCTGTTCTCATATCCTGATATAAAGTTATAACGTAACCTTATATGGCATTCCTGTACTGGCAATGAATATTACAGAAGGCATGTTTCCCTTTAGTAGGTGTTATGATTGTTTTACAATGTTTAGCAGTTCATCATCTTCCCAGATCCTTAATGTGGCTTTGCCGTTACCCCTAGCAACCCCATAGAAATTCCCGTCAAAATCTACCTATCAAGAATTCACAATTAAAGCATACCATAGGGTAAACATCACATTATAGAGTCATTCCAAAAAAGATAAAAAACAATCCACTGGACTTGGTTTCCAAGTTTGAAGACGTTTCGCTTCCCATCCAGGAAGCTTTTTCAACTTAGAATGTCAGACGTAGCATTGGGTTCGAGGTTTTTGAGAGTGGACTAAAACATAGCCTTGTTTCGCCTTAGAAAACATGCTAATTGAACCTGACAAGAGGGTCCACCCCTTTGGAATGGGGGTCGTTTTGTTTCTTTTTTTTAGCCTGTAATACCTAAAACCTGTCTATCTCTCTGAAAGGGAGGCCGTTAAAGGGAATTGTTAGCCTCGCTGAAGAGGTAAAGTGCTGTGTTCCCCTGTAAGGGGGTGCGGATTGAGATGATGGCGGGAAGGAATCAAGCAATCATTCGCTGAATTGCTTGTTTTTGAATCTGAAATCTGCTTTGTTTTGGTCCACTCTATAAAGCCTCGAACTCAACACTATTTCTGACATTTTGAATTGAAAAAGCTTCATGGATGGGAAGCAAAACATCTTCAAGCTTGGAAACAAAGTGCAGTGGATTGTTTTTTTTTTTACTTTTTGGGAATTACTATGATCAGGATGAATGAAAGTCTTCACCAGCATTACACTACACACTGCTGCTAAGTTGTTCTCTATGTACAACTTTTGAAGCAGTTTTGGAAGATAATACATTTCTGGAATGGTTGGTTTAGAAACTCTAATGGGATGGGACGTCATAAGCCAAAATTCAAAATGATTGTATCTTTAAAAACAAGCGCAGCACAAATAACAGTTTCAACAGCAAAAATCTGCACTAAAGACGCACTAATAGCTTCATGAAGCTTAGGACAATATGCTTGTTTAGTCTTAAGCTTGTGGTGAATACAAATAGGTTACCATCAATGCGCCTGTGAAGCACAAAAGGTCATTTTCAAGATGATAACTTATAGATACAACTTCCACTTTTATAAGGTGACAGTAAAAAAGTGACACGTAGTGCCTTAACACATCTGAATGACCAAGTTATAGAAATCCACACATCACCCTAATACAAACTGTACTCTCCTTGAACCCCAGTCGGCCTTGGCAGATGGCCGCTCACACTGAGCCTGGTTCTGCTGGAGGTTTCTTCCTGTTTAAAGGGAGTTTTTCCTCTCCACTGTCGCTATAAGTATGCTTAGAGTGGGGGATTGCCTTCGAGTCAATGAGTCGATACAATCAAATGGTTTTCCTTAGATAGAAGACACTTTGAATCAATTTGACTGCATGATCTGGTGAACTGTAAAGTGCCTTGAGATGAATTGAATCACAGTGTATGTGTATTGATCCAGGCCTTGTTCACACACAAAATTTGACATTTTTTTGCAGTTATGCCTTTCACATTAACAGCGTTATACATCCTTTAAAATGATTTATCCTAAAATGGACGAATTTATATCATCTCAGGATTTAAGCCTGCATATGGATATGAAATAATAATAATAATGATATGTAAAATAACATAATTAATTGAATTAAAAAGAAGGATAATAATCTCAGCTATGTCACGGTGATCATAAAAGCAACACAATATTTCTTTGCTGCAACACATGTGCAACCATCATGAAGTTTAAAATGAATTTTGTCGGAGCGGTCATGACTTTTAACATTTCTTCAAATACTTTTTGTTTGTAATTTTTTTTATCCATGATCAATGATTTGGATCCGCAGTTTATTCCAGACACGAAGTCATGGTTGGATTCTGATTGGCTGACAAGTTTTAGTTTTACAGTACACTGCCCCCTTTGTGTCTGGCACATTTAAATAAAACGTTCAGTGGCATATTTCTGGGAGAGTGTTCATGAAAGCTTCTCAAATAAAAAAAGGAAAACCTTCCCTGTTTTCCTGTATCATTTTTGAAAATGTAGAGGAGATATTTTTGTTTTTATTCAATTACTTCGATTCTGACCTTTCTGCTCAGAATCCTCTTCTTGAGATCTTTCAGTCTGTTGTCTTATTTTATACTCTCTGCTCTATCAGATTCATAATTCTTATTAAGGTGATTATAATAGTTCAGTTTTTTTGTCTGCTAAACCATTTTTTTGTTATTTTATAATAACAACTTAGAGATATACAGGGATCTCCTATAAGTTTTCTTCAAGGGTCTGTCAGGTCTTATTTAAAATATGCTGATACTTCAAACACCTTATGTAAAACAGTGAGATAATTTGCCTACCAATCCAACGAAGGAGGACAGGATCATCCCCACACGAACCACCACCCTATCAGCAGGGGTCAGAGCAGGGCGAACCTTCAGGTTGTAGCCAGTGAAGATTTTCTTCATTACAGTCTGCTCTGCCTCAGCAGCACCTGAACAACAGAAAGGAGAAGTTTAAAGGTGACATGAAACACCAAGAAAAAGGTCCACTGGGGAATAAGAAAGAGAATTAACAGTTTATGCTAAATCTGGAGTTTATAATCTAAGATGACTTGAGCTCCCTGATGTCTTTTGATTATGCCACATGGCATTTTTGAACCTTCTTGCTTGTTTTGACTAAATTACATTAAGTGATAAACATGCCACTTAAATACAGTAGTAGCCATTGAAAATTTCCCCACTTTCCTTGATGGACCCTGAGCTAGTCCCTGGCTACTCCCCTAAATTGCTTTTTAAACATCTGAAATATTCTGTCATGATTTGTGGACATTAAGATCTAAAGAGAAGCATTTTCTCCTGGTCAGACCCTGTAATTCAGTGAAAGGGTGGAGTTAGAGAAAATAAATATGCATGCCCATGAGAAAGCTGAGAAGGTGGCTGGAAGATGGAGGGGATGTTGCTGCAATTTGACTGCCATTCCACTGGCTTTTGACTGGGAATGACCACTTTTAAATGGCTGCTACTGTAATTCCTTGTATCAACATAGGCTTTTCAGAGCTGTATCGATTGGTAGAGTCTGTGTCAATGAAGTTGTCTGACCAGATTGCCAGGACAATACCAGCAGCTACTGAGGAAGGATAAAATCCAGTCGTCAACTCTTTTATGCTATCTCAGTGTGGTAAAGAAAATAACTACTAAAATGTCCAAATTGTAACCTTTTGATAGAGACAACTAAAGACAACTTTTTTGACTGCTGTGCCATGTGGTGCTAATGGCTACAGATACTTACCTTCTTTCTTTGTTTATCAAAGGTAAACCAGTACTTTTTACAGACTTTAATTGTTGAAGCAAAGAAACTCCAAAGATATTTTTTTTGATGGGACCTTAAAGAGCATTCATATGCTACACCATCTAAAATTCATCCCTTAGACAGTGACTCTAAAAGCTGTTCCCTTCACGAATACTGCTCAACACCCATAAACCAGACTATCCCATTCCTTCTATATGAACAATATGGTAGAGGTCATGCTGAAACTCTAAAGACCATTACAACAATATGTCAGCGTTTGGTTGAGGTTTGAGGACCCAAATGCAGAGGCAGGGAGGCAGAGGTGAGTTTTTCTAGGTTTAATGAAAAGTTCAAAAACAGCTGAGGCAGGAACCCAAAAAACAACATGAAAAAAGTAAAAGAAACCAGAACCATGGAGACATCAGGGGAAAACAATCATAATGAGGTAAGACGAAGTATGACAAGGAACCAGCACTGAGCAAATGCACAAGGAGAGTATTTATGGGAGATTGAACAAATAGAGGATTAACGAACTGATTGGGAGCAGGTGTGAAGAGAGGAGCCTAGAAAGGAGCTAGGGAAAAGGAGACCAACACAAGAGGACAGCAGAGGGCAACAAATAAAAACATAAGAACTGAAATATAACCAGAAAACACAATTAAAATAGGATTTAAACCAATAAAACTAGAAAACACAGAACAAAGTAAAACTGAATACTCAAAAGAAAACATAACCGAACCAAGACTGTGACACAATAGACTTTATGGGAGATTCATCTTGTAGACATTTCAAATCTGTTCTTTGTAAAGAAACTGATTATTTGAACAATGCCTAAAGACCAGTCATGCCTTCCACGTACCAATCCTTTTAAAAAATATACTTTTCAGTTAAAGAACATTTTCTTATGCAAACTCCTAAGATTTTTTTTTTCAAGAAACTCAAAATAGTATTCTTTAAGAGACTCTAAAGAAGATTCTATTGTAGAGACTTCATAATATAAAATACCGTATATTTAAGACCGTTCTTCAGGCAGCATCAACATTTTTTGGCTATAAACATAACTGCTTTTGTCAAAACTTTAAAGTTTAGTCCTAGATCACAGACTCTGAAGACTTAACCTTTTAAAGAGACGGAATCTTATTCATCTGTTATAGAACGACTATTTCTTTAAAGCTACAGTGTGTATTAATTACACACTGTATAGGTGTACTGACATAAATGTAATACAGTTGTGGTTAAAAAGTTTAGATAGCCTCCCAATAAAGAAAATGATAAACTCCCAATAGTAATTGAAATAACAAAAAGTAATTATAAACATTTACTAAAAGATAATTATAAAAGTAAAATAAAATACAGATTTTTAATGTTTGTTTAAATAAAAAACGCAGTCCCAGAGAAAATGAAGTACCGTTTTCATGAACAGTGGACCATCCTACCTGACAGCAAGTGCAGAAGTCTGACCAAACATATCCTGAACCGCCATGGCCTCTTTGCCCCCATCCTCCATCTATTCCTCCCTGTATTCCTTGTCTAATAACCCTCCTGCTACAGTCAAGACTAGGACTCTATAAACAGGTAATATACATAGACTACAACACTTGGTCTGTTTATATCACTTTGCTAAGCAGCTAACCAAAACATGATTGTGACGTGAAACAAATAACGGGTATATTTTGTTATCTTGGGCTTATATAAAATCTATAACCTACACAGACTAATAAAATCACATATATAAGATTATCTATGTAAACAAACCTCCTCATCATCAACCTCTGGAGAAGCAGTGGGGGGTGAAGTTCATGTTGCTGCAGTCTGACCATTAAATGTTGCTGAAAATGACACGCACCGCAGTGCAGAGGAATCCTGTCCCTCCTTTAAGGACATTTCATCCCAGCGCTGCATGTCTGTTGCCCCTAACATATATTTTTTAATAATCCTTTTAAATAGGAAACAACTTAATTTTACACTGCATTTTGTACCATATTTATTTTGCACTGTACTGAACCTTTCCATATTAAAGTCCTTTTGCACTATTATTATTTAAACTGGTTTTCCTTTTCTTCCATACCATTTACATGGTGATCAATGCTGCAGTTTAAACGCTAATGTTCTATTGGAAGCCATAAGCAACATAATTTTGTTATGTATACAAAATGACAATAAAGTTTTTCTAACTCTAATGACTGAATATCATTGTTTTTGCTAAGGGTCTTAACAGATCACTGGAATGATAAAACATTTCTAGGGGCAGTTACTGAATCTGGCTTTTGATAGTATTAGGGAAGGTGTTTTATGTCAAATACCAATTATTTTCTGAAAAATATCCATAGCTTCTTCCAAAGCTCAAAGCAGAAAAGTCTAATATTTAAAAGGTTAAACATATCTGAAGTCAGAAAAGTCTAAATCTAGAATTCTGTACCACCTTAAAGGAGTATTAAATTCGTCACTGCGGATCTTAAAAGCTGAGCAATATTTAAACCATGTTGTTTCCGTTTTATTGCATTTCCACAAACAACCTTCTGTTTTACTTGCAAGCATTTCCTCCCTTGTGCTGGAAGGTTAGAAGCATTTATAAACAGTGGCCTTGGTGACGTGGCATCCATCACATTTGGCATCACTGTTGCTCTAGCAGAATCTGACCTGACAGGAATAAATGACAACAATCACCCAGCAAGGCGCCCCTATTAGTGAGGCACAGGGAGGCATGACTGCTCATGGTCAAGAAATGGGACAGCTGCTTTTGAATAGGTGGTAAAATAGAAAAAAAATAAGATTGCTGAAGGAAAAGCAAGATTCAAAATTGCTTTTTTTATATTAGAAAACATCATCGCTTCTTTTAGATTTGCGTTTTTGGTTAGGATTCAGTTAAACATTTTTAGCTCTTATTAGCTCTCTAAATTCAAATAAATGCAAAAATAAGTGATGAAAATTATATGAAGACCAACTTTTGTAGCGATAAATTTTAATCTAAACATCCTGGCCAGAAGAGCCTTTCTCTCTTCAACCAGAACTCTCACATCCAATATCTAAATTCAGATAAAGAAATCGATTTCTGCATTGGCTTCTCCTTTGAGGGCAATTTGATACTTTCTTTGATCTAATAATGATTTTAGGTGAGCTTTGATGTTTGACTTTGATTGAACCATTAGTGTCCCCATTGAAAAAATAGAAATGAAACAAAAGACAACATAATGGTTGTCAAAGCCCTTTTTTTTTCTTATCCAGTCGTGGCTTAATGGCAAAGTTGATGCTCTTTTGCCATCACTTGCCAGCGTCACAAGTTTATCTCAATGTCAGAAGGAGTTTGGAAACTAATACCAAACATTTATTATTGTAGCTCTGCTATATAGAGCTGAATATTCAGGATTTCTATTATGTGCAGCTGTCTAGTATTATGTCTAGTAGAGCCACATCCATGAGGATAAAGCTGCAGAAAATACTCAACCAACATGAGCTGGTTCTCTAAGTCAGCTCTCCTACTGAAATATTTTCTAATTTCCCAGTGACCTTTAGTCTTTCAAAGGGTCAATAAAATTACTATTATTGATTGAATGCAATCTAGCATTCAAGCTAGCCTCTTTATATGAATTATATCAGCAGAACAGCTCAGTGTTGGGTACATTTTGTCATCTTGTGTCTTACCTCCTGGAGTGCTCAGACAGTAAAAGCAACATAACAGCAGCAGCTTGCTCAGCAGGCTTATCATGGTGGCCCCCTGAACCAAATGCGGATCTTCAAGTAAGGATAATCCAACTTTTCAGACCAATATTAATACTTGTCTTATCCAGCAGATGAAAATGTTTTAACACTGAGTCCAGTTTGGCTAGAGCTGTTGTTGTCTGTCAGTCAGCGGAGCCTGGACAACTGGTGTGAGCTCCAATTACCTCCAAGAGGGAGGGGTTGTTTTTGCACCATAAGTATGTGCTAAAACTGTGAGTCTGGCATATTATTAAAGAAATATACTACAATTCAACGACTTTAAAGTACGTTGTTTGTGAAATCTTTAAAGGCTCTCGTTTATACAGGTTATTAAGTACATTGGCTGGGAAGAGAAGTATTTTTTAAAATGCATTATATACGTTTTAGTTTCAGTAAAATCCTTAACTATGCTCAAAATGGATGTGTGTCACACTATTTAGAATAGACTCTTCAGTAATCCCTCTCATTAAGCATGATTGTAGCGACAGTGGAGATGAAAACCTCCCTTTTAACAGGAAGAAACCTCCAGCAGAACCAGGCTCAGTGTGAGCGGCCATCTGCCAAGGCAGACTGGGGTTTAAGGAGACAGAAGCAGAGATGCAAAAAGCAGCTGTAAAAGTTGGCCCGATCCAGGAAACACACAGCAAGGCAGATGAGCTCCGAGCAGCTCCCATGCCAGAGGATGAAGAGAGCACCTCCAGCCAGTTCTACAGATCTACAGTTTAAAATACACGTTTTTGAACTATCCCACTGTCTGTCTTTCCTTGAATA